TTGATTTTGCCAGATACCAATTCTACTTTAATGTATTTAATCTCTTCTAACAAGAGGCTTTGCATCAGAAAAATTGCTGAGCAACTTGCCAAAACTCTCTATATTAAAGAAACACATCTATAATAATGAAGAGTTTGTCTGTATTAGACCATTTAATGTGAGCATCCTGAAATATGAACAATCGGTGAAAGGAGCAAATTTAATTCCTAATCTCAAAAATACTTCAAAAGTGTCATTCAGATCATAAAGGAGGAATCTTTGAAAAATGGAATTCTTTCATTGGCTTAGAACAAGCTGCCATTATAAACTTAACTGCTTTATTCTGCTTTTTCAAAAGTTCTAAAGAAAATTAAGGCTCCTATACTATCAGGGAAAATCTATCAGTCTAATTCAGGGGCTCTAACTAAAATGAATTTGAAAGAATAGGCAAACTATATCAACAAATTAGTATTCCTTTAGTTTTTAAAACCACGTGTTTATTTTGCTTGTAGTTATCTTTTTAAAACATGTTTTGTATAAAATTAAGTAATTTAAAATCAACTGTAATTAAAATAAAAGAAATGCCAATGATAATTAAGTTATTTAGCAGATACTATTGGAGACAAAAAAAAATAAGCAGAGTACTGAAAAGTAATCAGTATATTTGTTACTTATTAAAACTGTCAATACTGTTCAGTTTTAATAAAAATAGTGCAGAAAGAAATTTTCGGCAGACCCTCGAAAGGGATAAGTTCAGGAGAAAATTGCTTAAATATGGTAAATTTTGACTATCACAAGTTGGCCTAGAACAACAGATTATATTGAATGCAGTTAATCTTTATTTTGATGGAAACTACTAAAAAATTAAATAAATAAATAATGGTAGCCAAGAAGCTTAGATAATTTCTCTAAAATGTTAGTTAGTTGTAAACAACCTTTTGGGAAATTAAGGGAAACCATATAGGAAACTGAAACACCAAATTTATTTTCAAATTTAGGATAGAATAGCATTGAAGGTTACAATTGCTTTTAAAGTTCTCTCATGTAATATACCTTACTCATTGTTGCACTTCACATTAGTGATAAATGGTTAAGAAAACTTCAAATCAATCTAAGTTAAAATGGAAAAGCATTGAATAGTGAGTTTTGTCAAATACCAAACAATTTAGTTTAGATGAATGTGAAAATCAGGGTTGGGTTTTTGACACCACTAATCGCAACGACACGGCATTGTTGCAGAACATTACAGAATTCCTGGAAAAAGATTTTTCCATTGAAAAGTAAAAAAATTAAGTTTTCTTTTTTACAGAAACTTACACGTAATATTTGAATCATGCATTTAGATATTCACTTTTTGACTCGCTCAATATATGCTGATAGTATCGTAAACCAGGGTTGGGTTTTTGATGTCAAAAAGTGGTTTTTGACATGACAAGGGTATAATACTGGTTTAAACCGTCAAAAACCCGTCAAAAATGTCAAAAACTGAAGTTTGCCAAGAGAATATATAAACTTCAAAACTACCAACAGTTGCCATGCATTATATTGAAATTTAATTATACTATAGGTAATCAGCAGGCTTTAAAATATTTTTTAATTAAAATTAAGGTAAAATAACAGATTTAAAATCTCAGAAATTTATATTCAAATGCATGTGCAGAAAAATTTTGCACAAAAATTGTTTAAATATTTATATTTAAAAAAAAATTTTTTTTTTTTTTGATACTTAAGAAAATTAAAAGTTTATTACTATGCATTTTTGACATATAAGGAACATATAACTAATATTTATAAGGAACTTACAAGTTATGTTGTATAAATACAAACTTGATACAAGTGTATGAAAAAAAATTTTAATGTTATACCGAATATCTTTATTATCCAGTATGTTAATTTGAATTTAAAAGTAGTTATATTTGTGAATAATGATAAATATAATTCATATTGTTTATTATATTTATTTATAATTATTACACTTATCATTTTAAAACAATTTTTACCTCTTAATTTTTTTCCCCCACTTGTATTAAGAATACAAATAATGCATATCTTGAAAGCAAGAAGTAATTATTCAACAGCTGAATATTTAGATATTCAACAAAACTATATAGTATTCAGCAAAATGAAATTCACAAGTATTTGGATAAACTAAATTTTCAGCATAGTAAATGAATAGGCTGAATATACTGTAAATCGACACTAACTACTCTGTGTATTTAACAGAAAGCACTTAAATTTGTATTGTCTTATGTTAAAAAGATTATTAAGAAGATTTAAAAGAATATTAAAAAGATTTTTCTTTAAAAGATGTCTAATGTACAAAACTGCTAATGTTTATCTTTAAAAATGTCTAATTTTTAGTATAATCTATACTATACACTAAATTTGGTTATAAATAAATTTCTTAATAATATCACTGCAGATTTTCAATAACACATGAAAATGAATACATAATATTACAAAAGATGTGAGCTTTCAAAAGTACAAGATTTTGGTTACTATTCAAAATATAAGTGTTTCTTCAAAATTTTAAATTTATTTTTTCTAGAACATATTTAGAAACACTATCCTTTATAAAAAATATATAAATTTTATGTATTAATTAAATTTCACATATGAATATAGGTTTTTGACATTTTCGACATTTTTGACAGTGAGGTTTTTGACGTGACGGTTTAAACCATGGTTTAAACTGTCAAAAACTGTCACATGTCAAAAACCTGCCAACCCTGTCGTAAACCGATGTAATGTTTTGATTGTATTTTCGGCAGTTATTGACATTGATTTTCACATGGATTTTAAATATCCCAACATATTTCAAACAATTTAGAAAATTCAAATTGTGCATTTGAGTATTTACATTTTAAGGAAATGGAATTTTTGGAAGTTATTGCTATTGATTTCTCCATAGTTTTTAAATCTGGTATCTTTTATACGATATTATTAATTACAACAACCTGATCTCTAATGATTTTTAATAATTTTTTAATTGCAATGATTATTTACAAAATGCAAAAAAGGAAATAATTTGTGTGCTCCTCCCCATCAAAATGTAAGAATATCCCCCATAATATTAAAATAAAAAATTATTACATGTTCAATTAAAAATATATATATATATAATATTTTTTTTCGTAAACACAGCGCTTTTGTTATTTTAAATCAGTTACATATATGTTTGTTATTATTAAAAGTATCTTGCAGAAAGATTTGTTGCAGATAGCTCGAAAAAATTCTGCCTATGGGCGCCAACAATTGCTTGATCTCAACATATAATTTTTTTTATTGATTCTGAATATTTATTATTAATTATATTTAGGAGAGCAGAATATATGCAAACTAGGCTTTGGAGGAAATTCAGACAACAATGGGAAAATCTTTGGTCTAAAAAATTCCCACAAAATGTTTTATTACAAAATGTGTTGCTTTGCAAAACTTTTCTTGTTATAAAAAAACAAATGCCAATCTGTGTATTTAGTAGTTTAAATTCCTAAAGTTAATAAGTGGGACCTTAGTTAACAAGTGCAAGTGACAGCAATCAAGATGGTGAAACAGAACCATAACAATAGCCACCTTTTGTGAAAGACCTGCAAGCCTTTGAAACAATGAGAATATTTCTGTATTCATAATAATTTACAGAAAAAATAGCAATCTGTCACAAATGTTGAAAATTTATTGTTTGCATAGAGAAGAAAATGGTATGTTCAAACTAAAATTTACGTACGATATATTAAAGAAATAGATTTTTTTATTCACCTTTCGTTTGCAACGTGAATATTTTTGTGGAAATATAATTTGTTTAATTAAAAAAATTTATGCTTACGATAAATTTATAAGTTTTTTATTATCAGGTCATTGTTTGAGATTTTATATTGACCCGCATTTGTCAATTTCCAGACTCCATCATTCACAATAAATGGTCCTATGAAACGACCAATCAAAGTTCTATTCATTATTTTATCGCACGTAAAATATAAGATTGTCCAAATTATGCAACGTAATATGTTTTAAACAAATATATATTTAAAATTTACTCCTTCACTGTTATGTTATAATAATTATGTTATATAAAATATGAGCTTGTACTTCAACAATTCATAAAAGAAAAGAAATACTTAGTTTTAAATTGATAATTACTAAATAATAAGTAATATTAATATTTTCCTGGGATTTGGTGTTATTACTTCATTTTGTATAAGTCAGAGTCGGCATAGAGTTTCAAGTGAGTCTGCAATCAGAGTCGAACATTTCAACTGCATACTTTGCAACACTGAAGTAATTGTAAGAAAGATGCTTTTGTCTTTTTTTCATCAAATATTTGAATGGATATATTTTGTGATCAGGTAAGATTTAAAATCTATCCACTAAAATTAATAAAAAAACAACAAAAAAAGCTCATTTTTTATTTGCTCTAATATTATGTTTCTGCCGGCCAAGTGGATTAGTGGTTAGCATGCCTGACTACGAAGACAATGGCTGCGGGTTCGAATCCTCCGCCTTAATATTTTTCTGTATGTTTCCCCTGTTGTGTGATGCGTGAATGTGGCCCATCCTGTGAATGGGTATCTGCAGCAATATGACGAGCGTAATGTTACTCGCCTCCATGGCTTTGGTTCACGGAAGCCCACCAGGTAATTATGAATGAGCAACACTTCCAGCATCTTCTAAGGCGACGAATGAAAGTTCAGTGCTTGCCGTTATTTAAAATAAATAAATAAAATATTATGCTTTTAAAAATATTTTAAAATTGTAGTTCATTCTTCAAATAACGATATGCAGTTTATTTTAAAATCACCTCATTTAAATGCTTTCGGTTGAATCTCTCTGTTATAGCATTTAAAGTATCTTAAAAAAGATAATAAAAATGGGATATTTTTTCATAATTGAATAAAATTAAAATCTAAAGAAACAAGAAAAAATTCAAACAATTAATATAATAATAATACAACCAAATAATCTGAAATATGAGACTAACTGAAGAAAGGGAATATTTGGTGCATGTAAAATATAAAATCAATTACCAGTCACAGGAGCTTCAATATCTAATATAGTTTTCTCTTGTCGCAAAAGGGCTGCTCCTTCATCAATTATTTTGAGCGCTGCAGCCTCTTCAATGCGGCCTTCTAACACAAAATGCTGCTTTAGGAGATCTGTGCGAGGTTTTGTGGTCTTTGGGTCAAAAACTTCGGCTAGTGTAAGTTTATGACTAGGAGGGAATGGAACACCTGAAAGAATTATTTAAAAACTGTAGCAAAAGGATTTAAAAAAAAAAATTCAGAAGATTAATGAAAAATCATTTAAAATCAAAACTATTACTTCATTACAACTGAGATAGGGAAAATATACTACAACTAGGAAAAATATATAATTAAATTTACTTTTGATTTTATAGATATGAATTTTAAGTTACAAATAATAAGAATTTCAGGATTGATAAAAATAGCAAGAGTATCAGGCAAGAAACAAAAGAATATGCATGAATATAAGAAGGAAAAAAATTTTACTTAATAATTAACTGAAGTATGTCAATGAATTGAAATTGATAAATGGAGATATTTGCTTATGGTTTTTGAAATTAACAAATAATCAAAAATTAAGGGTAGCAATAAATCACAAAAAGTGAAGATGAAAATATTTATAAGAGTGTATTACAAAGAAATGTAACTGACTGGGGATATTCAAGCATTTAAAATATATTACAGTTTAACTTCTCAATTTTATAAGTTTCTTTTTTAAATAAATTTAACGTAAATTACAAATTATTTTTATAACACTTTTCCAAATAAAAGCTTTAAAAAGAAATTAAATTATAAAATTACTTCTTGAGTATATAATGCTTACAGTAGGGCTGCACAACATTTTTAAATGAAGGGTTAGTTACACTACATGTTGACCAATGAAGAGCCTCATACCCAAATATTTAAACATGTTGTTGGCAATTATGGTATTTTTATATAAACAATGTTCTAGGAATTAAATCCTTTTTATCAGTCAACTTATATCAGTCAATGCATATTTGAAAAAAATTATTCATTTCTGAATATTAGAATTCATTCAAAACGGAAGAGAGCCAAACTGACACTCCTTAAAACAATATTCTTTTCTTATCAAAGAAACAGATTATATTTATGGAAACATATGTTAACATCTGGAAAAAGTAATACCTTTATTATCACATAATATGAAAGTTAATATAAAAACAATTTCTAACAATAAAGAGCTTTGATAATCAAAGAAAAAAAAATATTTTAAAATAAATTAATACAATTAAATAAATACAATAAATGCATATAATTAAAGAAATTTTATGTTTAAAAATTACTAGAACAAAACCGTTACAGCATAATACAAGATTCAACACTTAGATGGGAATAGTAGTTCACCTTTAGAATGTTTCTATTTAGTTAATTTTGAGAGGTTTTATGAATGTTAGTACTGTTATTAACTGTCTCTTTAAGTACTTTTTATGCCAAAAAACTATTAAAAAAAAATTACAAACAGTAAAGAGTTAAAATTTTGTGCATTTCTCCATTTTTCAAATTGATAATAGAGCTTCAATTACAAACCAATGGGAACTAGAGTTGAAGGTAGGCCTAAGATCAGATGGCTTGACTGTGTACAAGAGAATTTCAAAATCCTGAGAATTACTAACTGGGGGACAATCACAAAGAATAGAGCAGAATGGAGGAAGTTTCAGGAAAGGCCCATAAAGGGCTGTCATGCCAATAGAAGAAATAATTTGTAGCCAGAGTCGGTTAGTGTAAAACAGGGTTGGGTTTTTGCCGTCAAAAACTGGTTTTTGACATGACAGTGGTAAAAACCGTGTTTTTACCGGTAAAAACCGTCAAAAACCTACTATTTTCTTTAATTTATGGCATATAGCAGACAATATATTATTTTCACTTAATTGCCTTTATAAATGAATGTTGTAAATGATTGCTATTGATTTTGCAACTATATACACGTATTCTTATAGAAGGATATACATTCATACAGAAATATTGTAATATACTTATTGAAAATAGTGATACTTAACTTTTATCATTATAGCTTGATTTGCAAAGGATTCAAAATTTTGCACTTCTTAATTGTTAGAAATAAACAAACAAACAAAAAAACTTGGAACTATTAATAAATTCAAGAACTAAAAAGAAGAATTTAAAATTTGGCATTTCTTAAATATTAGAAATAAGCTAAACAAAACTTTCAAAACTTGTAACTACTAACAAACTCTAAGTCAGGAATGACTTGACATTCTTCAGTAATGTAATATGCCAAACAAAATGATGCTTGGAAATGTTGAAAATTTTGTTTAGTATCCTAATATTTTACTTCAAATAGTATGATTTGATATAATCATGTTGGGAAAATGCAAAAATCTGTTCTTAAATATCTTTTAACAACTTTTTTTCTAATTTTATTGCCTAAAAAAGAATTAATTTTAAATCATAAGCAGTTAAACTCAAATTAAAATACAGTTTTATCGAAACTATGAGTTTTTGACAGAGGCGTTTTTGACATGGCGGTAAAAACCATGGTATAAACCGGTAAAAACCGTCATGTGTCAAAAACTTGCCAACCCTGGTGTAAAATATAACTGGATTTTCAATACCATAAGGAAATGTGTCAAAAAATCAAGGGAATCGAAAAATCAAGGGAAAAATCGAAAAATCAGCTATGTTATTGGTATGAGGTAACGCAAAACAAAAATATAATAAAAATATTTAAGATAACAAAGATAATTAAATATTAAGATAATTAGAAATATTTAAGATAAATAAAAAAACTGAGTAACTACTATTAAGAATAAAAAAACTAAAGTGGTAAAGTTGAAAAAAAAAAAAGGGAAATCGAAAAAAATATCTTATTTCTGAAAACAAAACTTCAATGTTAAAAATAATATTTTCGGATAAAAAATAATCCATAAAACGTTGAGATAATCTATAAGAATACAGTGCTATCATAAAAAAGATTATGTTCAAAAGCAAAACAGAAAAGAAAAAAAAATCCTAATTTTTGAAAAAAAATATTAGAGCAGTTTTCCAATTATAGTATTTTCAAAAAAATATCTGAAGTACAAGGTCTAATAGAAACCCTCTTAATTGCAGCATCATGATAAAAACATTTATACAAACAAATGTTTTTAAAAAAGAGAGAAACCAAAACAAAAAATCATTCTGAATTTTGAACACAAAAAAACTTGACATTAGTAATCTCAAATTAACTTTTTCACATTGCCATATTTTTTGAAAAAACATTCTCAATATACTGAAAAATTCATACTCAAAAAGTAGAACTTTTTTCCATGACTTTTCCAGATATTTCAGGTGTGTATGAACCCTACTTTCATTAGAAACGCTCTTTAAAAAATGCTGCCATTATAAAAACGCTGATAAAAAATGAAGATTAATAAAAATAGCAAAAGAAAAATATAATTTTTTTCTCAGTTCTGAAATGTAACTTTAACAATGAAAAATCAGAATTTTTCAAGGTTACCTGTTATCTGTCTTACCCTACAGGAAAAAGTGACAATAAAAAATAAAGTCTATAAGAAACGCTCCGTTATAATTAGGACTGCAAGTTTGTCGCAGGAAAAAAAAAACCCAAATTAGCGGGAAATTTTGAAAATTACACAAATTCTAAACATAAAAAAATTTATTATATAAATGATGCAAAGACAGAAATTGCGCAAATAATAAAAAAAGCTTTAAAAAAAACAACAAGAGTATTTCTTTGAATTTGAAGCAATATTAATATTTTTATTTAAATGAACAGAATTTTGGTACAAAGTATTGTACATTGTCAGATTATTCTCATTTATCCTTCGTCTTTCATCACTTAATACATTTTTATACTTAGAAAACGATCTTTCTGTATCAACGCCACTTTTGCCAATTTTGGAGCGTTCGGTCTTTAATTTCCAAAACTCTAGCAATTTTCCTTCACCAACGTGCAATTCCTTGACCATTGCTTTGTAAGAAGTAATTGCTGTGAAAACTCAAACATTCTACATTCAAACTACTAGTCCCCCCCCCCTTCATCTAAGAAACTGATCCATATTTAAGAAATCACAAGAAACCACCTAGGAAAAATTAACTGGGTATGTAGAAAGGCAGTAGAAATTTCATTGCCCAGTGCAATAACATGTATAACAATTTTTCTGTCAAAGATTTGATTTATAACATTTTCCTTCTTTTGTGATTCCACTTTCTTTTGTACTCTTACTGACTTCAGGAAGGTAATTACCCTCCCTAAGTGTAGAAAGACCACCTTAGTTGACAAAATTGTGATTATCTCTATCTCTGAACTATTAATTTTCATGTCATTTTGCTATTGATTCAGTCCCCTAAATATCTGATCAATTTTACATGTTCAATTTAAGGTTCAGGAAAATAAAAAATTCTGTTTAATAAAAATAATAAATAAAAAATGAAAAAAAAAAATCAAATTTTAAGCAATTTTCGCACAAGTCAAGACATATTGAGAAATGTGCAGATTTTAGGAAAAAAGATGACAATTTCGCAGAAATCATCGCGGAAATTCGCGCCGCAACAAACCTACAGCCCTAGTTATAATGCTGTGCTATAATTCGAACAGAAAAACAGCAAATACGAAACTAATTTTAAAAAATTCTCAATTTTTGAAGAAAAAATTAAAAAATGACAAAACAGACTTGCTTGAATATAACTAAAAAAATCAGCAGTACCTAACTTAAGGTTCAGTATAAACTAATCTAGTTTCCATTTCTCCAAGTTTTGTTTTGCCAAAGGTCTTTCAAAACATAACTAACAAGTTTTAGAACTTAACAAATACGTGTAAAAACTATTTCTATAATAATGTGTTGTAAAAAATACTATTTTAAATTATTTTTCATTAAATCTACTCAAATTTTTTAAAAAAAACTTTGTTGAAAAATATTTTTTTTTAAAAATACTTTGCTGAATATTTGGCTGAATAACTGGCCAACTAAATATTCGGCAAAAGAGCCCAAATATTTGTTACATCCCTATAATTAAACCATTAGCACCAAAACTTAACAACTTTTACTATTTTATATGCAATCTATGTCATGTTTCTATGTTACCTACTATGTCATGTTTCCATGTTTCTATGTATCATATGTTACATTGCCTTACATATATTAAAATTTGTATTAATTCAATACATTTTTAATAAAAACTTAATACTAATGTTATAAATTGCACATTGCTAAATACTAATATTAAATAAATAATAATGAAGTATTACATTTTATAATACAGATAAATAAAGGGAGAAATCTCTCTTTACACTACAAATAATGGTAAATGTTAAGTATTTATTCAAATGTTGTGTGGTGTTGTAAAGAAACATAAAAGCATAGTTAAAGTATTCAGTTATTTTTCATTTTTTATTATTATGGCAGCATTAATGACAAAAATGGATATTTTGGAATTGTTATCTTAAAACATTAATTAATAATTAAAATGGAATAGTTTAATACTATTAAATACTTCGGAATGATTAAGTTACACTTTCATTTAAGGGCTATGGGTATTACTAGACATTGTTTTGAAAAAAAATATATATATATATATATATATATTTCTAACCTTGGTTATATTTGTTAAATTCTGAGTTAATTTATAAATCTCTGGGGAAAAAGTAAAATTTACTTATATTTTTTTTCTTTTATGACTTCATTTTTTAGACTACATTTATTCAACACTCAGTGCTGAAATCATAATTGTTTCAAATTTTTTCACTGAATATTTTTTTCTTGTATTAGCAGAGTTCTTCCCAATAATAAATAAAGCATTACCACCATAAGAATTTATCAAAATTTCTATTATGTAATAATAGAATTTGATCATGAATTGATTTTTAAAATATTGTATACAATTTGATGTGTTAAATTTAAGAAGTAATTCTCTTTCATTATCAAAATCAAAGAAAAATTTGCAGTTAATAAAAATAAAAAAATTAAAGGCATGCTATTACAGAGGGGTGCGCAACCTGCAGCCAACAGATTGTTGTTGTGCGGCCAGCAGGAGCTTCAGAACTAGTTTATTTTTTTAAATAACATTAGAGTAAGAACACTAATGTTTATATAAAAATTATTCAGATGTTGCCAATATGACTAAAAACGTGTGCGGCCCTTCATTAATCAACTTGTTGTGCAAGTGGCTCTTCACTCAAAAAGGTTGTGCACCCTGTTAATTATAATAATTTCTAATACTCAATAGATGGCACTCTGCGCAGTAATGTAAAATCATTAGTTTCTAATCAGTTTCCTCCATAACACTGTACCATCATCATCATCCTTCTTGTTATTAAATATATTTTATGTTAAAAGGCGTTTGTTATGATTGAAAACCCCGAGATCAGAGATCATATCACCGTATTTAATATTGGCGCACCAACCTGGAGCTAAGAATTTGATTAAAGGTGAGTGCACTTGATTTAAATAATGGATTCATAGGATGATTTGAAAAATAAAAGAAAAACAATTCGCTCTTTAACAACTTGATTAATAACAAGAAGGATGATGATGATGGTACAGTGTTATGGAGGAAACTGATTAGAAACTAATGATTTTACATTACTGCGCAGAGCGCCATCTATTGAGTATTAGAAATTATTATAATTAACACACCCCAACATAAGATACGTGCATAATTTTGTTTCAAAAAAGTAAACTAAATAAAAAAACTTATTCATTGATAGACAACTTATAACTTGAGAGCTTTTTTCCATAATTTAAACTAAAACAAATGAGAAAATAAGCATTTAAAAGTTGCATTTTTTTTTAAAGGTGTATATTTATATTTTAAAAGTAATTTTAAAATTTAAAATCATTAAAAATATATATATTAATATACCCCCCTCCCCCCCAAAAAAAGATAAAGGATACTCATAAAAGTTTAACCACTTGAGAATAAGCCTACAAAGTAAGCTCTAACAAAGTAAATATTTATAATATTTGCAGAATTAAACTTATAAACACAGATAATTTTTTAACCAGTGTGTAATTATTCAAAAAAAATTTTTTTTTACTAAATGGAATGAAAAGTGTTAAGGGTTGACATGGGTGGAAGAGGTTGCATTTATAGAGATCAAAGTACGGACAGGCAATTTTAAGAATGATAAACATAAAAATAGAATAATATAATAAAGAAAATCAATATCTAAGTCAACAAAGGTGTCATGCGTATTGTAATGCATTATTCAGACTAAGCAAAAATCATTTGGTCAAAATATTTACAAAATAGGCCTGCAATAAGTGCTCTAAAAAGGATTTTTAACAAAATCAGGTACAAAATTTTTCCAATTAAAACAAGTTTAAAGCGAAAGGAATGTGAGTAATAAAAAATATATCTTTTTATTCTCCAAATAAAAGAATATCATTTATCAATAACTCCATTTATCCTTGTAGGAAATTTAGGTTCATTGAAAATGCTTAAAAAGTATTATATTTATATATTTGCTTGTCCTAAAAGTACTACACATATTTTAAATGTCCCATATTTAACATCTAATGCACCGTAAACTGCTATCATTTTAAGATGTTCTATTTATGAATATAAATATCAATTCATAAAATGTTTTTAAATCATAAAATATATTTGTTTTAATTCAATAACTTAATAAACGATTAAGTACAATGTTATATTATACAACACAATGTCAAATACTCTTTCAGAGAGGTCTTTTGTTGAAGTTCATTCTCTTTAAGGAGATAGGGAAAAATATTTCATTATGCATATTATTGGCAGTCTTGTCTTTTAAGAAAAATATGAAATACCTTTCGGACATGGTTAAGATTTTTTACGGAAGTAACTTTCTTCCATTACACGGAAAGAAAAAGGAATTAAAAAGGTGAACCTGATCAAAAAGGAAAAAACTAAAATGGATCATAACTATTTAGAAATCTGTATTTTAAGAAAAGCTTACATTTATACAAATTTAACTTAATACAGTGTAACAGAAAGTTAAAAAGATTCCATATCTACTTCATTAAAAAAAATTAACTATTTCATTTTAATTAGTTTAATTTTATATAGAATTTTAAAATCTATACATATTATCTAAGGATTAAATTGAGTATTAGAATTGAAATTAGAGTAAAAATTATTAACCCAATAAATGATTTGTAGTAGTAACATTTAAGTTTAGTATTTATTTTATTAATACCACTGCAATTAAACTTGATCTGATGTTGTAACAACATATACAATAAAAAAAATTGTGTTTAACTACACTCTTTTGCATAAAAAATATTGAAAGAAACTAGTTTGAGAAATTCATTCCACTTTTTTTTCCAATTGTTACTTTTAATTTATTTAAAAATTATGAGTAAATTAATTTGAAAATACAATTATTAAAACTAGACTATAACTATAAGCTGTTTAAGAAATTGTTTTAACATTTAATATTTCTGAAAAGAAGCTTGTTCCACTTGTTTTGGAAAAAAAAGAACCCCTTTCTTTCAGGGTAGATTTTTTTGTTTATTGTAGAAGAAACTTCTCTGATTTGGGATAATTTTACTGAAATTTTGTTACAATATTCTCTTGTTATAGCATACAAAAACATATCTACTTTCTTAAAGAACTCATGTATCTTAATTATAAAAGCTTATATGTTAAACATATCATCTTAAGGTTAAATTGAAATTAAAGTCTGAAAAAAAACAATGATTATGAATTTGATTTATGTGTTTTGTGAAGTCTTACTATACTAAGGATGTCCCAATTTCAATTAAATAATTATGATGGTCATCCCGTATTGTTAAACAGAGTTTGACTAACAGACTATTTCTTTTCCCATTCTATCAAACACACCCACAAAATAATTAACACGTGCATAAATCAGCTGATTATATGCATAATAGACGTTGAATTAATTTGAAAATCATTAATTACAGAGCATATGTGTTTGGAATAGAATAAATGGATTTGTATCATATATTTAGCCGCATGGTTGCGAGAGAAGTGCACGACCTATATTTGAGAAGCGATTTGAATGTACGAATCTGATTTGTCAAGGCCAATGATACACTCCCACCGGTACGGCCCGTGTATGGGAGGAAAGCTTTACTCAAAATTACAAAGATCAATAGAATGGAATGACTCTAGTTAAATTATGGTTCGACAAAGGGGAAATAATCTTAAATAACCAATACATGCACCACAACATGACGAGATATACATTAAACTAAGCCTAAGGTAGGTCTATCACTTACTTTTTACTACACGTTCCGAAGGGCAGTATTTTGTACTATTCGCCGACATATTCGATCTATCCTTTGATTTTCACGTTACCAAAGACATAAACAACACGTAATGCTTACACGTAGCCACTAAGATGTAATACAATACCGCTAACGGTACCACAAACGTCGTAAACAACAAATTTCTTCTTGCATTTCTGCAATGCGCATAATTATTCGCGCAAGCAATCTAATCCAATCTCAAGACATCGCCTAACGAGGAGAGCCGAAAGATTTTACTATTCCACAACTTACAAAGAGTATAAGATAATAAAAGTGGAGTTTTTTGAATTTGTAACACTCTAACTATACTAATTCTCAATCACAAGAAGATTATTAATCGGGATATTCTATTTTCCCATATAACTGTCAAGAATTTGTTTAGAAACACCAGTCCATGGGTGGACCGATGCCAGTATCAACACTATCATCAAAAATAAGTCTAAAATAAAGAAACCGAAACTAATTTTCATAAATGAAATGAAATCATAAACCCTGAGCAAAATATATTCTTATATATAAAAAAACAACTTTTTCATAACAAAATTTTAAGATAACTGAAGTTTTTACTATGATTTTCGTGGTATGTTTGTTTTTCAAAAGTTGCAGGTTCGTGCTATTTATATTGGTTGCTAACGAGAACCTGATTAGCGAGCTTTTCGCTAGTATACATAGTTTAGGCCAATCTGGTTCTCGTTAGTAATGAAAATTGTTCTCGCATGTGAAAAAATTGTTTTTAATGTGAATGGTCTTTTAGAATCAAATTGGAGCTTCACTAAAGAGTCATTCTTACTGATTGCGATTTTTTGATGTAGAAATGAGAACCTAATTTAATTTTTTCGCGGGAAAATATTTTTGAACAGCGCGAAAAATCGCAAGCAATGAAAATGGTCGTATTTATGACGGTTTTGAGTTCTTAATAATGTTCCGAAAACAATACCGACACACGCTCACACTTCATTACCAAAATTTCACCGCAATCCTATCACAATAATCACTCGGATACCGTCCAATACATCCAAAACTTTTCCGGTTGTACTTTCCGCTTGTTCTGAAATCACTGTAAAGATCATGAGGATTCTAAACCACTAATTAGACAAGGTAGGAGGAAGCGCAATTTGATCAAGTATAACTTTTGACACAGGAAATCAAACCATGATACAAGTAGAAAAAGGCGAAGACTATCCACCACACCTGTTGGTCGTTGCTTGCATTATCTAGCGATCATAAACTTGAAGTGCTGCAAGTGGGGTGACAAAAACGAGTGTATTTTGAGGTATACCTAGAGACCTTCAATTTGGATTAGTTTTTACAAAAAATAAATTCCATTTCCGCCCGTGTTTTAAATTTTCCGGCCACTAACAGAATTACTAGAGGTGCAATTCGAGATTCTGGGATTCGGTTCGAAGCATATTATGTCCAAGTAGTCGTTTGTATGTTGCTTTCCCATCCTCTAAAAAATATTTTATTTGAAACGTTGCTCCTATAGTAGTAGTGTGGGGAGAGTAGTTACAGACCATGTCAACCTTCATCTATGAAAAGCAGTGCCGTAACTTCACCCTTTGGGGCCCTGGGGCTCAAATTTTTGCCGGGGCCCTTTTCTATAACTTTGTGTACTCCATCTCTAATCGCCATTTTAGCTACTTATGTATCATGTTGATTAATATATTTATGAAAATAAGTCATTTGTTCACATAGAAATGGGATTACAAAATATTGCAAGTTGTAAATTTAACACTAGAATGTAAAATGTTATAGTATTTAAAAAAATTAATTTTTAATTACAAAACACAAATAAGACATCTAAAAATAATTACAAAACACATACTAAATACAGATTTTAAATGTANTCACCAATGTGGGGAGAGTAGTTACAGACCATGTCAACTTTCATCTATGCAGATACGCTACAGTAGCAATGTTTTTTTCTTGCATCCGCCACTGGGTAAAACAAAGCACTCTCTTTACAGTAAAGAACTTATATTGTCTGTCTATATCCAAGTAACGAATCGCCTTTTTTCTCTTAACTTTTAATCAATTGTATAAACTAGTAACAGATTTAGCCCGGTACTTGAGTACTGTTTCATTTTTCCAGTCCTTAAAATTCTATTCTATAAATTAGGCCTACATCTTTCCAATAACACAAACAATTATTGCGAAAAGAGTTTGATTAATTCTAAAAGACCAATCCAAATTTATTCTATACCCAAACTTAATAAGAAAACTTTTCATAAAATTTTCTTAATCAAATAAGATCAAGATCTTAATAAAATTTTCTTAATCAAATAATATATGTAAAGAAAAATCCTCTTGATATTCAATAGGCAAGTAACCAAAATATTAAAAAAGAAAAAAAAAAAAAAAAAAAAAAAAAAAAAAAAAAAAAANAAAAAAAAAAAAAAAAAAAAAAAAGACTTTCAAAGTTTTACTTTTACTGTGCTTAATAAGAAAAATATTATCTTATACTTATTAATGCAGTTATAGTTATTGTCTTATGGTTATTGTCACCGTTAAAAAATACTGGCGATATTTTTACGATCTGATCGGGCCTTACGAATTTCGATTTATTGGAAGTCTTAATGATGTTCACAGCGTAGAAAGGTTTTCAATAACCTGTGCCTGTCTAGTAAGAGTAAATTTAGTCTTATGATACAAAAAACGTACTTTGGAACACCAACCAGGATCCTTACAACTACCCACTCTTCAAATTCATTGCCAATATCTTGATAAATTTAAGAATCATTCGATGTCAGTGATTAGCGTATTAAAATGAAAACAATTTCTTCTTTGTTTAATTTGGTACAAAGGAGCAAAAATAAATAAAAGACAGCATCATAAATGTATGTACTCCGGATTCTACGTACTAAGTGCCAATTTTAATGGTTCAAAGAGCGTAAACATCAAATATGCTCAAATATTAAGGGATGTACTAAAGATGAGTTCGGGCTCGCTTTTAGAGAACTGGGCCCTCACTAACCATAAGAATTTTTATCCGTACCCAAAGCAACTTTAAAGCAATTAAGTTTTGCGGTTTTGAGTAAATAATTTATAACTACACGTTTTTCAGTTTTTTATATATTTTTTTTAAAATTTATTTTATTGCTGTTTAAATTGATAAAAACCGATTTGGAGCAGACTTCCTTGCACACTATTTCAGGGGGTGTTATGGCTAACGAAATTAGTACAGTGTAAAAGTATTTTCTTTTTTTTTTAAATATTATTTTGATAAGTCACTCATAGCTAAACAGAATAGTTAAGAATAATCTCGTGAACAAACATTACGGCGCAAATAAACGACCAGAAATAATTCTTAGTATTAAATAAACTATGCAGCTTGAAATAAATAGAGCAACGTATTACGTGAATGGGGAGGAGCCTCATAACTATTTCAGTGTGAATGTTTGTTTGCCTCATAGCTAGGAAAGAGGATCAACCAGTTTACGTAACGAGTTTCGTTTTGTGTATTTATCAGGAGTTTCGTTTTGTATATGTATCCTCTTCGAACAATTCAGAATCAATTTTTTGTTTTTATTCAGAACAAAGAACATGCTTTTGATAAGTTAGGAACTTAGCTACTCCACAAAGATAAAAATTTTACTAATTGTCCATTGCACACGCAGAGACCGATCAAGAGAAATTCAGGCCCAAGGCCCACTAAATTTTCCGGGTCCCTTACAAAATATTTTGATATTAAATTACTGAAGAGTAGTCCTGACAATAAAAAAAATCTATCGAACTGCATGATTCAAGTGAAATATTCTAAGAAATTTTGACTAAAATTTAAAACAACAAAACAACGTTATGTCAAAATAAAAATAGTTTGGTGACCACAAACAATTGAAATCAGAGATTTTTGCTAAAAGTCACTGAACCAACACAAAGCTAGTCCACCTTTCATTCGACTCATTACTAATTTTTGAGGACCCTCAGAAATTGTGGGCCCTAGGTCCATGCCTATCAGACCTAGGCGATAATTAGGCCCTAGACGCACGCATCAGACCATAAGGAATTGTGCTCTAGGAGCCAACGGACCTTGGCAAACAAAAATATACAAAAATATATTCTGGTGGCCAAGCAACGGACAATCGCAGGACCAGAGAAGAAAAACGTTTCCACACCAAATTAATTGAATCGGACTCGTACTTTAAATACGTCTTAGTTGAAAATATTTTCGCAATAGGTATCTAAGGAAAGAAATATAACAGATATTGGCTGAGTTAAAATAACTTTTAAAGTAGTAAAAATGCTTTGATAAGGTTGTGATAAAAATTGAGCATTTTCCAAAAATTTTTTGGTAATGGGTAAAACTCAGCAGCAAATTGAAATCTTACAAAAAAATTCCCAATCTACAAAGCAGTAGCGTGACTCTGAGAGGCCTTGGGCAAAGCAATTTGGAGGGCCCCTACTAGGAAAATGAAAATCTTAGGATCACCCATAGATTTCCACCATTTCATGAAGGTAGATTGCACCTTTTTTCTTCTTTTTTTAAGAATTTACAACTAGAATTTTTTCTATTACAATTATCTTTTATTTTATTTTTAAATTTCGGATTATAGTTGATTGTTATATATCAGGTGAGAGGCCTGTAGAAGTGAAAAAGTTTCAGCTTTTAAGAGCCCCGCATTTTGTAATCATGAGAAAATTTTAAAAATATCATTTTTTTATTTTGATTTCCATGAGCTGAAATGTGGAGAAGAATGCTCTCAAGCGTTCTGCTATGTCCCAGGTTACTGCTTTTATCTATATAAATATAATATAAAACAATGACTTCTAATTTTCAATACCCTAAATACTTTTTTTTATTATTAAAAAAAAGTTCTTAATGGATATCACAGACATGGAGAGTTATAGAAATGCTCGATCCTGTATAAATGCGTTCTTTTCCTTATTACATATACTACATTTATCTTTTAGCTAAAAGTTTTACAGTGCATGTCCATTAAATTGTATAAAGCTCTTCATCTTCACTGGACCTGAATAAATTAATGTCCAAATAGATAAAATTATTACATAAGAAGTTACTGCTTTGATTTCTGATTGCTAAAGATATATTGCTTGAAACTTCGATTTTCATTTAATTTTTCTAAACAATATCAGTGAAAAAGGGACCCTGAAATTTACCCTCATAATTCATAGAAAATATATTTATTACAAAGAATTTTAACAAAAAAAAAAAATAATAATTGACGAAAAAAACAAACAATACAAAATAATTACAGAACAATTGGAAAAAATCAGACGTTTCTAACACGAACTCGGCCCTTCGATACTACTTGAAAATCAAGATAAAAACGAACGTTCTTTTCCTTCTCCTGTGATCCGATAATGAGGAAAGTAAGCGAAGTTTTGCCACACGTAGAGAGTTCTGCCCCGCGCCTCCTTCAGCTCATTTCGATAGCCAGTAGAGTAGTGATAATATGAGAGAGCTGGCGCACTGCTAAAATTTAGACAGAGTTAAATTCGTTGCGCAAATTTAAAAAGAAAAAACGTACCTAAAAAGGCAGCGTACACAACTCTTAATCAAAAGCTCCATATCCGTGAGAATATGCTGCCATTGGATTTCTGTGCAACATTTTAAATGCATGAATTTTGATTGACATCCTTTCTGTAAGGTTGAGAAAGGCGGTTCGTTCCCTTATTATATAGAGACATGACAACCTTGCGGGTAGAAGAGGAAAAAAATTGATAAGACCACTGCTAAGAGAGAACAGGTAGGAAAGACCGTGGAGAAAAAGAGTGTAAAGGGTAAATGTGCTACCCTCCCTTGAGAAATCAAAGGATAGCGATGATGTGGCTAACGCCAAAAGCAGAAAATGGTAGAGGTTGAAAGCTCAGATAGTGAATGTGAAGAGATTGGAAAGAGAATTACAACTACAAAAGAACAAGAAAAGGAAAGCCCCTCCTATAATCATTAAGAACTATGATCAGACATGGACCCCAATAAATAAATTCCTAAAGGATTTTAAAATCCAAGGTTTCACTGGGAAAGTTTTCGGAGACGAGATGAAGCTGTCGCTTTCATACTAAGATGATTACCGACATGTTACACGGTACTTACTTAACATCAAGTTCCACACTTTTAAACTTCAAGTAGAAAAACCACTTGGAGTGGTTTTAAAGGATATACCGGCGAATATTGAAACGGAAGAAATAGAAAGAGCTCTGATGGCTAAAAGTTACATCATTACTTAAAGTGAAACAGATGAAGAGTTTCAGAGACTGAGTTCTGAAGAAACTGCCACTCTTCATAGTAACCCTACCTAAGAATGATCAGAATAAGGAGACCTATGATTTCACTTATTTACTGAATTTAAAGATTAGAGTGGAGACCTACAAAGGCAGAACGAATCACGTAACACAGTGCTATAGATACCATGGATTTAGTCATATGCATGATTCCTGAAACCATAAAGTGAAATGCTTGAAGTGTGGAGAGGGGCACTTCACTCAAAGTTGTGACAAGAGCAGGAGCAGCCCTTCAAAATGTGAGAACTGGGGGGGGGGCGGTGTGAGCATCCGTTAAACTTTTTGAACTGTCCTAAATACCCAAGGACTCAGTTTAAAGAACACATACTAAAATGACCTTAATTAAGGATCCTAAGGAGCAAAAAGTGAGAGCTCAATAATAATTGCCGTAGATGACGCTAGATCAGTTATGACTGAGCTTAAATATCTAGTTAATGCTATTAAACAGGAAGGTCTAATTGACCAATTAAAAGTTCTAAACTTCATTGCTCATGATGAGTAATACAGCTAAAAGAAATGCCCAATTGAACTTGTTCAATGGGAACGCAAACGGCATAGTGAATAAGACAGATGAGTTGAAAGATTCTGTGACGAACTATGACCCAGATGTGTTCATAATAACGGAAACACACTTAAATAAACAGTATAACAAAGTTTCTAATTGCACAATTTATCGATGTGACAGAAGATATAGAGGATGAGGAGTGGCGATATCCCGGCGTAAAAGAGTCCGAGTCATGGCGAGTTTGACTATTCAAACAATAATGGTATGGAATATGTTTTTATTCTTTTAAACTACAACAATGAATCAGTCAAAATTGTTGGCCTCTATAATGCACCAACACATACCATTTCAGAAACTCAACTAGAAGGACTATTCGCTGGTGGTTATGACACCATCATAGCTGGAGACTACAATCTAAAGCACATAATATGGGACTGTAATAAATCGAATGTAAATGGTAAAATTTTGAAAAAATTGGTTAATAGATTCTCTCTCACAGTGGTAGCACCTTTAGAACCTACATTCTATCCTAACATGAGAAATCACATTCCTGATATATTGGACTTTATTAGAAATATGTAAATTCCTATGGCAATAAATAATCTGTCATCTGATCATCATCCTGTGCATATCTCTGTTAGCATAACAATGGTTGAAAATCCTAAAATGATTAATAATACAAACTGGAATCTATATGAAAATATTCTTAGACAATAGTAGAAGAAAACTTAGATACCTCAGACTGCAATGATAAAGAAATTAAGAAATTTCAATCACTGATACAAGAGGCGCATACGGAAGCAGCAACTTCTAAAGTGTATAAGACAAACTTCCTAAGGTTCTCACCAGAAATCACTTACCTTATCAAACAAAGAAACTGGTGCAGGAAGAAATATCGGTCCTCAATATAGAGAGGAATATTTAAACTTGAACAAACAAATTCACAAGCAGTGCAAGAGATTTAAGAACAGGCAGTGGAATGAGAAGGTCGAGAGCTTCTGTGTGAAAGACAATTCGATCTGGAGAATGGCAAGAGCTTTACGCACGGATCCACAGAAAAATTAGCCATTAAGAACTGAAAGCGGCTTTGTTTGTACCAAGAAAATAAAAGCAGAGGTGTTTGCTGACTGTATGGAAGAGCAGTTCTCTCTGAATCAGAATTATAATCCTCATAATAATAGATTGGTAAATGAAAGCGTAGAGAATTTTCTGAGATAATATAGTTATATAGTGAGATAATATAGTGAGCTTTGTTAATGCTTGATATAAGTAAAGCGTTTGATAGAGTATTACGTATCAAGAGGTTTCACAAAATATTATAATGCTGAAATCATTAGAAAAGCAAAAAAGAAACTAATTGAACTGGATATAAAAAAGCGAAAGTGGGAATTGATTGGTCATGTTCTATGTAAACCTGGAAAATTTAAAGTAAACGAAGTTTTTGATTGGAACCCTCAGGGCAATAGAAAAAGAGGATACTTAAACATACTTGGCTCAGGACAATTGTAAGCAAATAGAAAACAATAGGAAAGACACGGAGATAGGCAAAACATTTGGCCACAAATAAAGTGAGAGGGAAAGCTATATTAGAAACCCTATGCTCTAATTCAGAGTAAAAAGGAATGTGTATATTGCATTGATTAATTAATATTTCTGCTACAAATCGGGATTGACGGCAAAATTGCTACGCATTAAAATATTAAAAAATGAGAAAAAACACAATTTTTTTTAGCGAATTTCATTTCGGGATTACTTTTTAGATTATAAATTTTACACTTTGCGTTTGCTTCAATAGTTCATTAATTCAAACCGAAGTTATTGTATTTTTTTTACAGTCTTCGTTCTTGAAGATTATCAGAAGTTGCTTTTTCTCTAATAAATTTGTGAAAAAAAAGTTGTTACCGTGCGTGATATAGACTTAGAGAAGGAAAAAAAAAAAAGAAAAAAGAAAGAGGATGCTGGTTAGGGCGGAATAAATGTCTCGTTAAAGAGATTTTGAGTAATTAACGAAATGAAAAGTTTAGATAAGCGGAACACCGGGAAAATTTCGTTGGAATATAAATTATTAATTCGCAGAAGTCTACGAATCGATGGTCTTGGAATTCCGTTATTTAGCGGAAGATTACTAAAATATTTTATATCATTTTGTCAAAAGAAAAAAACACCCTCAAAGCATCCAGGCAAACTAGAAGAAAAAAAAAGAAAAGCTCTTGCTTTTATAAACAGGATCAAATATTCTAACTCCTTGTTCCACCCCACTACAATCTTTGCATTGCTTTTTGTAAACTGCATAGTCTCCAAAGAGGTCAAAGGTTTTTCCATTCATTCAGTAACTATGCAACAGTTTCATATGGCATTCTTATCTAGTTTGACAAATTTAATCGCGCAAGCTGTTTTACAAGCAAAGTATTGCTAAGATGATGATATTTCGACCGTTAGGCGATAAATTTCCATATAAAAGTGGGTATAATAGATGGTAAAAAAACAAAAAATTGAGGGGAAAAATACAACTTTTCTTTAAAATTCCCGATGGATGACCATCCTAATAAAGCAATAATACAAGCTTTAAAAGCCAGAAGATCCATTGGCAGTAAACTCAGAAATAGTATTATAAAATAAAACTTACCTGCATGCACAAATTTTACTAAGCATGAAATTTACAAATATTCGGAACCAATGAAGTTTATATATGCACCCAAAGTATCTACAGTGACGCTATTAAGTCCCATGGGACAATTCCACATTTTCTCTCTCTCTAAACATTTAATCTGGTCCCACCCCTCCTGAAAAGCTACTGACATCTTACGGACTATCGCTAAATATGCAGACATTTAAACCAAATTGAATTGTAACATTTATCAGCTTTTATGCCGTGATTTATGACATAAAGTAAAGACAGGTTCTCTTCTTGTTTCGTTTATTTTTTACAAAACTTTTTACAGATATTATACAATCCAGTTTATATAAATATAACTGTTCTCTAAATAGCAGATTTCAACTTCATGTAGAAACATATTCTGGAAGATGAAATTCAGGATTGTCAAACAGCAATTTTTTCTTCGGTGGTAAAGGTGCAATGGAGGATGTAAAGCGAGTTAAAGAAAATTCTGCACACATAAATAAAAGATTTTTTACAAAAGAAAAAAAAATAACGAAAGTATCACACATTAATAAAATTATTGAAGGATAATAGGTCACTGAGCTTTTTATTCTGCGCTAAATAAACAATGCAATATTTGCGCTAAATTAACAATGTAAACGAGGAATTTCATACTTACTTTTTTTAAAAACACTCTGCATGATTATTATGGGTAAAGCCCCAGATTTTGAGATTGGGGAGGCTAGGTATAATACAGATATAACTTTTCATGTAACTCTTCATATTTAATAACAGTAAATGATACAGTGGTTTTGAAAAAAAAAATCTAAATTTGCACAACATTAATTTAATACAACTATTTTAAATGTATAGAACCCATGACAACCTTGTCAAAACAACTGTTGAAGATTAATACCTTTTAAAAAAAAAAGACTAACTTGAAAAAAGTGCTAACAAGGTAAGTAAATGCTTGGAAATTCCTACTATAACAAAGTTAAGCTTAAATTAAGGAGCTATAGTTCTTTCACAAGGAATTAGCACTTGGCTCCGCCTTCATCACATGGTATCCGATGATGCAATTTTGTTATTTTTGGGAGAAGGATGTGAACAATCCTGAACAATGATGCTATTTGGCAATTGTATGAGAAAAATATTTATTTCGCAATCCCTGTGCATTTTTAAAAAATTAAATGTTTATAAATTTGATGATATTTCTCCCTCTTGAATGAATAGTTTGTGCTTTTTGAGATATTATGATGGGAAAACAGCGGTTTTAACTATAAAATATATTTAATTAGCTAGCATAACGAAAGGTATAATAGCAGATGATAAGCGAAGGGACTGAAAAAAATTCACTGTTTGCGTTTGGCAGGCATTAAGGCCTGTCTCATTTTCAAGTGCGGTGATGTTTTTTCTTTCCCGCGCTGAAATGAACTCTACGTCCGGGGAGGTGGAGCCAAGTGCCAAGTCCTGGTGAATGAACTATACGTAATCTGCCCTTAGGGTAAAATATGTCCCATTTTAATTTCAGTTCATTTACTTTAAAACTAACAAAAACTTTTCCCAACTTATTTGTATTCGCGGTTTGGCTAGTAGCAGATTAAGCAGCTTGTTTATATTTCATCCAAGGTTTTCAAACATGCTCATCAATTGAAGATTAGGTTTGCTTTAATGAGAATTTTCGAGTCGCGTACTTCTTTGTAAGTGATGTAGGAAAAAGGGGTGACATCACATTGCAAATTAATTTCTATCCATTATAAAAGAATAAATTTTCATAAGAGTAGTTCATAAGAAACAAAATCAAACGATAAATTCATTTTCTAAAATGGACATTCTGAGGTTTGTCAAAAGGAGTCCCCCCCCCCAATTCATTGATAAGAAGTGTTTTTTTTGTTGGCAATGCAATCAAAATATCGATTTAGGCAGAAGAAAATAAAAATACTAACACATGCATTGGCCATTAGCTTTTTCTAAAAAGTTACCCCTGAAAATTGGGGTTTAAGTATCTGCAAGATCTTTTTAATACTAATTCCAAATTACTGAATAGTTAAATATAAAATATGTCAAAAATGAAAGGATATTTATGAAGGAGTTTGAAGAAACCAGTTCCTAGAGTCATGGGTATTCCTAAAATAATACTTTCACTCACTCCAACAATAGAATCTTCCTGGCCGAAATAGGCAGCATCAAATAAATGATCAGCAGTCTTTTCAAACTAAAATTTATGAAGAAAATTTTGGATAAGATAGTATTGAAGCAGTATAATATTTGTTAAAGCATACAAATGACCAAAACATACAGGATGGCTCCGAATTCACGATACAAACTTAAGGGTAGGTACAAGACATTGTAACAATAATTTATTGTATAGGAATGAATGGGTGTAAGTAATGTGATCGTACAAATTATGTTAGCTGGAAGATACCAATTTATGTTAAACTCACCCCAACTAATAATCAAGTTATTGAAACAAAGGATTAAAAAACGATTTTCAGTTTGAAAATTATTTCAATGTCAAGTAATATCGGATTCAATATTTCATAAAAAAGAAAAATGACCAAAAAGTGGAAATCATTTGAAATAATTATAGTCGTTGCTTTGCGGTGCAAATCTAAAATACATCATCTTTAAGACTTAACATAAACAAACAGTCTTAGAAAGAAATACTACTAAAACACAAATTAAACAGAGGCTCAGGTTTTACAACATAACCTAGTACAACAAAAGGAGTAAACAAATTAAAATTAAATTTTTTTTTCCTGACAATTGCAACAAAGTACACAAAGTTTGCTTTAAGCAATGTTTAAAAACTATAACTTATTTAAGCAATGTTTGTTGTCTAGACACGTAAAAATATACTAAATTACGAAGAAATGCAAATGACATTGTTGACAAAATGACCCTGTAGATGAAATAACTTGTGGACAAAACAACTCTGACCACAAGAAAACCCTGTCAACGAAATTACCTTCTCAATAAAATCATCTGTAGAAGAGGTGGAGTTGACAAAATGAACCGGACCCTATACAATTATACAGCACTGCATATCTTAATCTACACACAGAAACATATATGCATGTTTAACACACAAAAATACAATTTTCAAAATAACTTTATCCAAAAATTGACTCTGATAGCAAAAATAAATATGTTGGGGAAATTATAATATGTTGGGGGAATAATTATTGACACACTAATTTTATTTGCATACAATCTTGTAACTCAAAGTTAAATGCAATCATTACATCTATCTTTTTCTACATAAGTTTTTGAAATTTTATTGTACTATCAACATTATTAGCTCATTTTAAAAGCTCAAAATTAATGTTCCAGAATTACTGTTATTTTTATACTTAAGTTATTTTAAAGTTAATATTAATTTTAATATGTAGTTACAACAAGAATTTTGTAATAAATAGAAATAAATGTTTAAGCAATAATAAAAATAACAATATAGACTTGAAAATTTACATAATAAAACAACAAAAAACACAAAAAAGCAAACTTTTAAAATAGTAATTAGTTTATAAAAATTCTAGATAACATTCGCTAAAACTTTAGAGCACAAACTTTCAAAATGTGCTAAAAATTTTGTCATGTGAAAAATTTTACTACAATATTTCTGCATAGAAAGAAAAAAGGATTTAATATGAGTTCTTCAATATTAATAAAGAATTGTACTCGTATGAAGATATTTTAATTATGGTTAATATAGAACTTACTGAGGCAAGCATAAGAGCACTTTCCTTCATTTTTGCTAGACCATAACGAGTAATTCCATGTACATCACCCTAAAAACATTCAAGCATACTTTAAAAAATCAATAATAATTTCATTAATAACTTTTCACATTGAACATGTAAATTCCAATTATAATATTTATGAAATATGCAAATCTAATAGAAGCCTTAGTTATGTCAATATTATATATGTATAGGCCAGGGATGGCGAACCAATGGCACGTGTGCCATTTATGGCACGAGACACAATATTTTGGGCACGCCACCGATCACAATTGTTTTTACACTATGAATTGTTATTCCACAAATGTTATTACATTATGAAGAACATGTAACAATTAAATTAAATTTCACAAAAAACAAAGAAAATAATAAACAATTATTAATAAAAAAATTAAAAATTAATGCTAAAAAAAACAATTAATAACCATAAAAGGCAAGCTAACAATAAATAACTAGCAAAAAAAAATTAACAGTCCTGCTTAAACTAACATCTTACAACCTAATATAAGTTATTTGTCATCGAATCTGCAGCATCGGAAGTCACACTGATGTTACTTTAAGTTGTTTTAAGACTTGGCAAAAAAATTTTTTTTTTAAATGTAAGTAACGAGTTTCTTGAGTTGATAGTATTTAGTATTATTATTTTCCCAATAATCACGAAGTCAAAATTATTTGACGGCACGTCTATGACCTCATTAAACAATTGTTTTAGAAAAAATGGCACGTTGGTGTATAAAGGTTCGCCACCCCTGGTATAGGCTATAAATGAAAAAAAAATACAATTAAAAAAAAAAAGCAATGAGTTACTGTTACATGAATTGACTGCGTCAAATGAATGCATCATAATGGATAATGAATGCATCAAAAAAAAAAAAAGTTCGATCAATTATCACAAAACTCTAACTTAAATTTTTAGTTTAATTCACATACCAAACATAAAAACAATTTCTGTATATTTTTATTTCAGCTAAAACTATAGCCAATTTAATTGTATACTAGTGACACTACATTTTAAAACCTCAAAATATTCAGCATCTGGATAAATATAAACTGAAATTTTCTTGCAGCATAATTCATTTGCATAGAATAACATGGAGCATTTTTTCATACAGGAAAGCCAGCAGCTGAAATTTTGGAAAAAGCTTTGACTTATGCTCAGAGGGTGAAATCCTATGTTTCAGCTTTCATGCATTTAGCGCACTCTGATTAATCAAAAGAACATGGATAAATGTTCAAGAGAAGGCCAAGGAACATCTCGGGCTGTCATACCAATGATGATGACGAATCAGAAAGCTTTATGAATTGAGCTAGAAAACCAATTCAATTGCTTTTAGTTTAACTTTGTTTTATTGTATTTAATCCAATCTTATCTTGCAGCTGCAAAATGGTCTAAAGCTTTTGTTATTTGTTACATTACAAAGATCTGAAATTAAAATAGATAGTGACCAGATCTTAGTTTCTCTGAGTATGTATTTCAACATTCTTAATATTTAATGAAGAATTTTAGTAATTATAGTTTAGTATTCATGTTGTACTTCCAAAGAAGCAACCAAAAGTTTGAATTAAGTTTTTTTTCAATAACAGTTTCAAAGACATACTACATAACAATACCAGAAAATATCTTGTTCATGCAAAGTAAAATTTTAAAATTGTTTAAAGGACTTCTTGGATTGGCAGACCATAGTTTCAAAAAACTCTGTTTAATATCCAAATAAGTTAAATAAATAACTGTCGAATGATCAGTTAAACTAGACAATGTTTATACACATTATTAATGTGTACGGATCTTAATAAGAAAAAATGAAAAGATATATATAGTTATTTTTGTTTATCGAACTACCTTCAAAAACTGAAAAACTATAATCCTTTATTATCAATATTTTTAAAAAAGTTGTAACACAATTGAAAATAATATTAAAACAGGAAATAGAAAAATTCTTAATAAAAAAAGTATTATGCATAATATTGAGAACATAAGATTAGAAAATGCATTTTTGTTGAGAATATTACCTTAAATGTCATGAGATCAGCTAGTAAAGTTAAATGTCTTCTATCTACATCAATGGAATGATGCTTCATAGTTGTCTGAATTTCACTGATGATAGTTGATCTATAACAAATGAAAGTTGTAGTTAATTGTCAGAAATAGTAAATTATTTGCGATTCTACTTAGGTATACAAAATTATAATGTAGGGCCACAATATATTTTTTTAAGTTGCATAGTATAAAAAATAAATAAAACATTTTAAAGCAGCATACGAATACTTGCACAATCATTAAATTGCTAAGTTATTTCATAACTGTGTGAAGCAATGCAACTGTAGCTTGAAATTAATAAAAATTATAATTAAGACATATATGTACAATTTAAAATATTAAAACTGACTATTTGTGTGATAGGAATTAGTATAAAAAGTCTGGACAAAGTTATAAATACATACAAAGCTAATGAATGGAAAAAATTATGAATTATAATTAAAAAAAAGCTTAATACACATTCAGTAATTATGGATATAAAAAATAAGGTATTGTGAAAAAATGTATAAACAGAACACAAAATGTACGACAGAATAAAAAAAATTGTGATTGGATTTTTAGTTCAAGAATCATCAACAATTAATCTTGCAAAAAATACTACATCAACCGCTCTACTGCTTGCAGAAATGTGTACTACAGAGTTGAAATTTGACACCCTGATATTGTTGTATACAAACAAACTTGACCTAAGTTTTTTTCTTTTTTTTTTTAAATTCCAATTTTTTCGAAAATTAGAGCATTAAGTGGTTCTTTTTTTTGTGTGAACATTTTGTCACTTTGCTTTAAATAATGATTATTTATCTACTGGTGTAGAAAAATACATATGTCATTCTCGAGATTTTCATTTTATGAGCTTGCACGCTTGACTTAATGTCAAAAAAAAAAAAAAAAAGGCACAATAAGGTAACAAAAAAAATAGACTTAATAATAATTAGACTGAAGAGAAAGAAAAACCTAAGACTAACTTAAACTATTATGTAGCATAAGGTTATCATTTTATATTGTTTATATATATATACANTTTTTATGAAAAATTAATAATATCCAAGTTTTTAAAGTGACTTACTTTGCAGCTTCAATGCCAAGATATTTCTTTACTTCAATAATATTATTTGAAGTTGTTGACTTCCACTGGACGCCTAAAATATTTGTTTATATCATTTGTTTAATTATTTCATTTTAAAGAACTTTTTTATCATTGCTAATTTTTCTATTTTTTAACATACATAATCTATATTTTTATAAACTCATATACAAAGAAAAAAATTATACAAAAAATTAGCAAACACATTGATACATTCATGAATTTTTTTAGAATAATAAATTCACTAAAATTTAAATAATTTCTAAATTAATAATAATATTGTTCGATATATTTACATCTAAACACTCATCTAACAACTTTACACCTATCTACACAATTAAAGTTATGATCAAATTAAATTACAAAAGCCTATGTACTGACATGCTCTTTGGAAAGATAAATTCAAAATTTTCTAGTTTTGTTCTTGTTAATTTGTAATACCAATTTAAAAAGTTTATGAAAATTTAACAAGTTACACAAATGTAACAAGTTTTTTTTTTGTAATATAATTTTAATGACACATAAAAAATAATTTGTATAAATTAAGTGCTCAATTATCTTTTGTATGAAAAAGAGTTTTAAATATTTTTGATCAATGTTGAGAAAAAATACCTTACAAAAATTATTAAAAGTCACTATTAAAAGTCAATAAATAAAAATATGTTTGCTCAAGAGGATACTCAATAATTTTTTCCCACTTTTTTGATATAAGAAAAATGAAAGTGCATTCAGAAAATAACTCATTTAATTATTTTATTTTAAACAGTTTCAATTTAGAATTTTTTTTTTTTAACCATTTTAGAATCATCTCCTAGAAAGAGTTTACATTTTAACTAGTTGCACTTTAAAAAAAAATCATATATATATATTAACGATAAATAGTTTTATTACTAGTATTGTTTCCCAGTTTTTCTAAAAAAGAAAAATTAACCGTTTTGTCTTATTCTTTTAGATTTGAGAGCATGTCTGGACGATACACAATAGTTTTAAATGAACAGAAAAAGATGCACAAATGAAATAATTTTACCCTGAGTAGCCATCACTTCGCCCAGGCCATCACCTTCAATTTGTAGGTTATATTTATCTCCCTCTAAATGTATTAATGCTCGGGAAACAGATTTAAATCCCTAAAATAAGAAATATAAAAACAAATGTTATAAAAGCAGATAATGAGAACAGCACCATGTTCAATCAACAATTGCCATAGTATGGCAACAATCAGGATTAATGAAGGATGCATTGTATCTTTACCCAAATTCTTATATGGGTAAGTGAATCAAATATTTTTAAACAGCCAATATAAAATAGTTTGAAGTTTCATTTAAAGAGCTAAAATTTTGCAGTAGAAACAATATTTTTCCTCATATAAAATTATTAGTATTACAATATTAACCATAATATTAAAAAAAAGATGTTAAAACATATAACAAATAATCACACTAAAATTTTAAATGTATGGATTAATATAAAAATGTTTCTCTTTCCATATCTTGGTTTACATTTGTAATGATTTATTTATCTTGTAGTCTGGCATTTTAACACAGCAATTTAAATTTTTTGTTAGTCCCCTAAACATACCTCAGATGGCTTACCCATATTTGAACATGCTCAGAATTATTAAAAAAATGTCATTTTCTTTTTATAAAATATTACTCATTTTAAGAAAATTAATTTATCTTTGTTAGTTCAAATGAAATAAAAAATTTACACACTTGTTATACCTAAATATTGAGAAAAATCTAAATGTAAGAACACACTCATAAATTAATTGAATAAGTTACAGTTTCTTTTGATTTTACTTGTAAGTCATAAAATATAGAAAATTTTTATTAAAAAATAGAAAAGTAAAAGAGTTTCAAAAAATTTACACCCAAACAATTATTTTTAAAAAGTATTATTTTATACAAAGTTCACTAAAATATCTAATTATTTCAAACTATCTTTCCAAATGGAAAAAAAGTAACTCAATAAGAACTGTTTTTCATTAAAATTTCAATTTCTTTTGAAGATTATTTACAAAATATTATACAAAATTTTCCCTATAGAGATTTATTTATTAAAAATAGTTTTAAGAAATGTTAGACCTCGCTTAAAATTATTTCCCATCCTTTATCAGTGCTTATGCATGCATTAATTATTAAAATAAATAGATCCAGAACACAATAAACATTAGAATACAGAAAAAAATAAAATGTTTTCACTAAATAGAAGTAAATACTGACCCGAATAACAACTGAAGGCAATTTATTTTTGAGCACTTGCATGATGTAGTAATGACTGCCTCTTTTGCTATCAAAAGGCCTCACTAAAATCACATCATTAGAATGAACCGTTATATTAGGTGGCTTTATTCCTCTGATTTCTGGAATATTCGATGTAAGGATGGAATGTTCTATAGTATCAGCAGTTACTTCGAGCTAAACACAGTAAAAAAATATCAATATTGGTCTAGACAACAGCTCAGTTTGTTAGTGTCTTTATTCTAAATAAATCACTACACTAGAATCATAAACTGTGAAGTTTATTTAATTTCTGATGGTTGAAATATTTACAAACCTCTTTGCGGTTTCAGAACACATACTTACACCAAATACTTTTCTATTTTATAAACAGATGGCACTTCTAGCATCAACAGATATATTAAAAAATCATTATTGTTTGCATAATAACAATAATTATAATAATAGCAATAAACTAAAGTAAATAACCTGAAGCAAGCGAATCCTTTCTAAGTTTAATCTAATCAATATGAAGCAGCTATCAGGTAAAAATACTTCTTCCAAATAATTAGACACCTAAATACACAATTGCAAAACATTATCATCACATAATGAAGACATAACACAAATAAATAATGAGGACACATCACAAAAAAATAATTTGTTTTTATATTCTTTTATTACTAGTACAAAGAGAACAATACTTTTTTGAAAAAAATCAATATACAATTAAAAATTTATTTCAAAAATATAGATAAATGCATAGTTAAATTATTGCTGCATAAATGTCCACATCTGAAGTGTAAGCTTTTAAAACTGTTCATACATTTATCTAAAGGGAATTATAAGTATAACAGGGTTCAGCATTAACAAAAAGAAAACCCGGAAAAGATCTTAATTTTTTCAGATTCTCCTGAAAATCTACAAAATTTCAGAATACATATTTGCTAGGCACAACCATTCCTAAGAAAAAATAATATATTTTTTAACAGAAATAAAACCTTTTTTAAAGGAAAATATATATCAAATAAACATTTAGTAATAATTGTAGGGATGCTAACTTTCCAAACTAGCTATCAGTAATCAAAATTCAAATTAGCAAAATATTGAGGTGTGTATATTGCTTAATTCTATATAGGTACATAATATTAATAAAATTTAGCATGAAATTACTATTAAATATAAAAAAGTAATATAAAAGTTTCATATTAAAAATTAAGATACAACACTGAGACTTCATATTTTATTATAAATTGATAAAATTAAATTGATTATTAAGAATCAAATGTTCCAGTTTTTTGTTAAATTAGAATTAGCTCTGATTTTGATTTTCATTTGTACCACTAAATATCTTTGCTCACAGCATTACAAATTGAAGTTTACGTTCTTTTGCTTATCTATATGTCGAAAATATTAAGGTTTAGAACAGGAAAGGGAAAAGAGGAGATTTCTTTTTTCTATTTTTTATTTATTGTTTTTAGAATTACTTAAGGAGTAGGAAAATATTATAGTAGATTAGTTGCAAACCAAAAAATTGCATAACTTTTAGTAGTTAAGGAGGAAAAAAAATTATTTTAAACAGAGTGTTAAAGGAAATTTCCAATAACGTAATTTTTGTTACTGAACCGTAACACAGTAATTATAATTAGGAAATCATAATCGTTGGCCCCTCTGTAATTGTATCTCATTAAATAAAAGTTTAAATTACACATTTCATAATACAAAGTTATATAACAATATTTTATGCAAGAAATGAACATTTCTGGACTAATTTTTCTTTCATAAAAAAAGAGGTTTCAAATCTTGATGTAATGTTCATTAAAAAATCACATGGTAATTATTAATGTCTGTCAAGTAAAGTTAACACTTAAAAACATTGATTAAATAATTAATATAAAAAAGAAGTCACACTTTACTTACATCACCTAAAGTTGTTTTTTCAATTCTTCCTTTGACTCGCCTGGCAGATTCCAAGTCATCATTTTCGTCTAATAATGCTGTTATAACGGGGGTACTTATAACCTTGGTGGCATTGATAATTTCTCCAATACGTGGTACACCCTGAGTGATATCTTAACGCAAGAAAAATTAAGGAAAAACACAATTTGAATAAAAAAAAGGAAAAATATCAAACCAAAGATGACAAACAATTTCTAAATTAGTAAGTCAGTTAAATTGCTATTTATTATTTTCGAGCACCTAGCATACAACTCGCTTTTTTTCCTTTTAAAAATTAATTTTTAAGCCATAGTACTTTGATTTCAAACTATGAAATTATATTGTGTTACTACATTTGCAGTTTAGATAATAACTTGCTTTAAATTGAATTGAATAAACAGTATTTTAAAAATATTTCAGTTTAATATCTACCTAAGCTTATTAAGACTAAGGTAAAATAATAATAACTCAAAATGTTATGTGCTCAAAATCAAAACCTGAACATCCTTAATACCTTTTGCCTTAATAATTGGATTTTCATGACCTAAGGCTCAATCTTAATGATGCAGAGCTCGAATGTATACACTACATACTTTTGAAAAAAATTACGTTATTTTCCATACATAATTATGCCATATATTTAGTTACCTTTCTCACAAAGTAATTGTTTCAAAACAGATTTCTTAAAAATAAAATAATACATTATAACAAAACAAAACAAAAAAATTCCTAAGTTTAAATATTTTTTTTTGTCTCAGAAATAACAAATTAATTAAAGGATACTCATAGAAGCAACACCAGCAAAATGGAAAGTTTTCAAAGTCATTTGAGTCGCAGGTTCTCCAATGCTTTGAGCACATACAGCTCCAACAGCTCCACCTTTAAAGGAAGAATACCAAATTATGCAATTAAGATAAATGGAGCATTGCAAAACAACTTCAAAACAAAAGTATCATTCGTACCTGGATGAATTAAAGACTTCATATATTTTTCTTTGCAAAACTCAATAAACTTTTTCAGTTGAGACTCCGTTATTCTTTCAAGCTGGTACAAAACTGAAATTTTTTCTCCCATTAATTTTAAATTAGGTTAAATTGAGATATAGTATATAGATTAAGTCAGTAAATATAAACATAGATCCATATAATAATAATTTAATTTATAGTAATCAATGATGTTTTTTAGCGTATTTAACAAAAATTTTTCATTTATTAAAAAACTTTGTTTAAAGAATAATTTTCATAAAATGTTACAAGCAAAAAGTGTCATATAAAAATAAAAGACGCAAATAAAAAATGACTTTAATAATAGAAATGTTTTCTAAATGAAATGAACTTGTTGGAACAAAATTTGGAAATGGATATTAAATAAATTATTAATGAAGTGAAATAGTTTTGTTAAACACTTTTTCAATAATTCTTTAATAGGTTTTTTTTCCTTTTTTTTAAATTTAAAACCAAATTAATAATAATTCTATACAACATCTATTAATCCAAAGTGTGGTGAAAGCTAAAGACTAACCATTCATTCCTAACTAAAAGTTTTAATTTTGTGTAACGCAAATGATGCATTGAATAACACATTTTAAATTAAGATTATATAATTAACCTATTGAACCAATATTGAGCTAAGATCATTTAAACATAAAATTAGTAATTAAACATCTATTTTCTACTATATAGATTGTCATAATTTTAAACTTTAACTTCACATAGGAAGAAGTTTTTAGTCTTATTTTTTCAATAGCTCTCAAAACTATGGTATGGTACTTTCAATAGAATGAAACTATCTTCAAAAAATTTCACTCCTAGATACAGAATTTAATCTTTGAAAAGTTCACGATTTCGATTTCTTTTCAGAATTCAAACAGTCTGACTAACATAATAAAAAAAGAAGTTTAAAAGTAATTACCTGAAGGAATATTTCGACCAGGTTTAGTTTTATACTGCAGCCTGGATTTTTTGATACGGTTAGCTTGATCAATAAAGAAATGCCTGAAAAAAAATTTTTTTAGCAATCTTTTAAGATAATTAAACACAAATTTAATAATTTATATAATTTTTATTTTTACCTCATTTGCAATTGATATGGTTCACTAGTTTCATTTAATTCTTCTTGTATTAATTGATCACTTAAAGAAATCAAAGTTTCATCATCCAAAGGAAGTTCCTCTTTGTATGGATATTTTGCCTGAGTAAACATAATGCAGTTTTTGTCATTTCAAATAAGAATGATTTATAATTATAATAACAAGTTTGCATGTGGAAAAATCAAAATTTTAATAAAATTTTTGAGAAATTTTGCAATAACATAAATACTCCCCCCCCCACAAAACATGCAGGCATAAGAAGACACGGCATAAATAATACATATAAAAGAGCTGAAAATCCTAAAAGTAAAGAACTGGAAATCAATTGCTGGGAGAAGGGCAGAATGGGAAAAGTTTCTGAGGAAGGCCCAGGCTCACAAAGGGCTGTCGTGCCCATGCTGATGATGAAAAGAGCATAAACTTTGTTTCTTTTGATTACTGTATGCGATATTAATATTTTTATTCTGAAGAACAGAATTTCAGTACAAAATTATGTACATAGCTAAATTATTTTTGTTCTTTATCAAAGATTTGTTAGCCAGCTTTCCACATCTTTCTGAATAAAAAGAATTAAAAAAATTTCCTTGTCAAGGGTAATATCCTTGGTTATCCTTTCATTTCAATAAACTTTCTCTTCTTCTTGGACTTTAGGGTATCTTTATTAATTTATCATACACAGGATACAGGCTTTTATATGGTTTCCCAATTCTCATAATCTCCTAAATGTTTCAAAAGTTTGAACTATTGATTTTAAAGTTTCAGAAACGTATTAATTGCTATTAAAATGTAAGTAAAAAACTTACAAACATATCAAACTTCTTCACAAATCTTAGTTTTAGGAAAAATTCGTGAACTTGAGAAAAAGCAGTACTAACAAACATTTAATAATTGTCGTAACATGGAAGTGCGCGTTGCAACAATTTGCGATCCAATAATTTAAAATGATAACACAATATGTGGAATAAATAGCGCAATAAGAATAAATTTTAGCAGTGGTAAATTGAACAACTATTAAAACTCTTTGTCATTCTAAAGATTTTCCTTTTAAAGATTCAAACATTCCCCCCCCCCCAAAAAAAGGGTAAAAAAATTTGCTTCAGATCATTTGACAACAAAGAAATCTGATCAATTCAACAGTAAGAAAATGATTAAAAGATGCAATGTTTGCAATTGAATCATATCATACAGGATTTGTTCAAAAAGTTATATTAGTGAGACATTAATTTATATGATCAGTACATTAATCACACAATACATTAAAAAATGTCAAAATCTAAGAAAAAGACCAAAGTTAAAAGTTTTCTGCACTGCTCTGCTCTTAGCAAGATTTCCTGGCATCAAAAACATCACGGTAAGCTTTTTGCGAAAAATCTTTTAGAACCACTTTGTCATGTTGATTGTGCTGAAGGGATGTCCCTTCATGGGAGCATTGGAGGAGCCACGACAAGATTGCAGGGTGGTTGAATGCATCATTCAACTCATATTTCAAGCATTTAAACTCTATCGAACCCATTGATTATTTTGACTGCGGACAAAATCGTACAGAACCCCCTCAGATACACATCTCACAGAATAACACGAGATAAATATTTTTCAGGATACCCACAAGGTTTAATTTCTGAAGAAGCTGGTGTAATTGCTCTAAGAGTTAAATGATATAAAGAATTAATAAAATTTAGTTGTCTATACATATAATGAAATAATTAAGATTGTTTTAAAAAGAGTCTTAATTATTATTTTAAATCTATACTTATCATAAGTTCGTTTTTTGTAACCTTTTAATCATCACTTAATGAGTTTATCTATTTTAACATACTTTCATATCTAATTAAACAGTACAGTAGGGAACCGATTATCCGGAATGATCGGGACCATCGCTATTCCAGATAACTGATTTTTCCAGTTTTCTGAATCGCTACAAAAAGCCGCTTTTTTTATTGTTAAACCCAACTAAAAAAAAAAAAATATTTGGAAATAATCTTAAAAAGAGGAAAAAGCGATGATGTAATACACTAATGATTATTTCCAAAATGATGGTAAGGTAAACATCTCTTAAAAAAGAAAGAAAAATCCTAAAATCTTATGAGGAAAAAAAAACATTTTTTAAAAAAAATGACGGGAAAATTTGTTGAATTTCGTTCCGGTTTTCTGATTTCCGGATAACGGGTTCCTGTACATCAAAATAGAGAAAGAAATATAACACATTTAAATGTTTACTGTAATGTGATAGAAAGCTCTTTCAAATATAATTGGAGAATCAGGCGGGTCTTCATTCTTTTTCATGCAATAACTATCTCCTCCCTTTTTCAGAGAAGTTTCAAATTTATTAATGCCTTCCATACATGCAGGATCCAATCCATCATCTCCATAAACAAACTGCACAACTTCTCCCACAGAATTACGAACACTCATGTCGTAGTGCAAGCACAAATCTTCTAAGGCCTAAAAAAAGAGAATGATAATACAAAAATATTGGACTCTTATTTTCTAATTAGCAAATTGTTTCAACAAAGTTAAAAAGCACATTAAATCAAAACAAGATATAATGTCTCAAACAATATATAACATATAAAAAGAGAATTGTATTAAAATTAAAGAAATTATATTTTTTCTTTTCATATAACAAAGAAAATTTTTGTTTTAAAAAAAGAAATATCTATTACTTCAAATAACATGAGATATTTATTTTTTATGCTTTTAAACAAACACGATTCAAATATAGTTCATCAGAGTGACAACTATAATAATGTATCTATAATTTTTGCATGAAATCAATAATTAGAATCGCAAAGAAAATTCCATGCATGGTGTCAAATTGAACAACTTAATTGGTGTCAACAAGAATATTGATGAGATTGAACGTATAAAACTTAGATACATTAAATATTTAGGATCAATGATATAAAAAATTAAATATATCCCAAGAAATTCTTTACATTTTTTTTTATGTATTCCATGCTTTCTTGAACATTTTTTAAAATTGATTTTGGGTCAGGTCTGTAATGACACATTTTGGCATGTAATGTAACATACAATATGTAATGACACTCCCACCACATAAAAATCATTCTTGTGAAATTGAGTCTAAAAATTATTTTATTATAATATAAGAGTTTTATTTGAAGAGTCAATAAAAAAAAATATTAGAAATTAAAAATTTCTAGTATTTCCATGAACATATTAGTGTCTGCCATTTGATAAATTTGACACTAATAGAGAATTATATTTCTCCATTTTTAAACAAGTTAGAAGTACAGTATAACCAAGTTTTGTAGTAAGCTAAAACAAAAAAAAAAAAAAACAGGACAAATTTAGGATATTTTTTGGAATACATATAGCAAACAACTTTTAAAAAAGATAAACAAACCGCAAACTAAAAAAAATAAATTATTTTATCAACTTAAGTGTTATAAAAGTTGATTTCATCAAAAAAGAATAATAAAATTTACGATTTTTAATATCAGAATCACTTAGTTTAGAAGAGAAAGTTTTAAAACTTTTCACTATAATTTTATCAATACTGAAAATATTTTTAAAACGAAGCATGGAAAAATTTTATAATGCTGTTGCATTAAAAAAAAAAGTCTTGTGTATCAATCAGTTATTATTTCATCATACCAACATATAAAGTTTCTAAGTAGTCTAAGATTTCCAAAATTAAATAATTTTAAAGTAAGGTTTCAACGATTTTAAAATAAAAAACACAGTGAATATGCCATTAAACATTTTTGTACATAAGTAACTTTAAAGGATGTTCTCGCAATTATCATTTAAAAATTCTATGATATAATTACTATATTGTTAACTGGAATCAATCATTTATAAATCACATGAACAAGAGGAACCAATAAGACTGAAACTACAAAAACTACAAGGTTTTGTATAGCATTTGCTTAAAAATAAAGTAGTCACCTATAGCAGTCCCTGAGCAATAGAAAATACTATAAAACCACATGAAATGTGACAAGTTTTGAAAATACTACTTAGATAAGATTGTATATTAAACAAAAAGAAAACTTGTTAAATAATATTTAAACCATGGCACATAGAATTACAATAGATTAAGTCATCTATTTGACTATAATAGGAAAAAAAATCATAATTATATTACTTTGATGAGTCGTCTTTGCATATATCCAGTTTCAGCGGTTTTAACTGCTGTATCAACAAGACCTGGAATATATGTCTAGCTATAAACATGAATACATATAGATAAAAACCTAATAATCATTTTGATTTCATTTTTTTTTATTAAAGTGTATCATTTCACTGTAATTGAAATAGCACTCACCTTCTCTTCCAGCCATTGTATGGAATATGAATTCTGTAGGGGTCATGCCAGTATAAAAACTATTCTGAACAAATCCTTTTGCTTCAGCAGTTTTACCTTCAAATTTAAACAAATTCATAAGTTGAATATGATAAAATGTTTGAATACTTATATTTAAGAATTGATCATTATAAATATATAGTGATAATTTGTAAATGTCTTAGAAGAAATATTTATTTCCCCAGAAATATATATATATAGTATACATAATTGAAACAGTAACATAATCTAATTCATCATAATCCTATAATATTTACGTTCTTAAGATATTTCCAGCTTGGGCAAAAGAAAATATTCTAATACTCATTTTAAATATATTCAGTGGAAGGTTCCATATCCGCACGCACTTGTCAGGATTTAGGCAACTTAGGAAAGATATGTGTACCATCATTTTATCAAGAATTTATTTATAGCTAAGACATGCAGATATATGGGGAAATAAAGAATTTGTTATCTCCGAAAATTATATTCCATAAACATGATATGAGATGCCAGTGACATATAACAAATAGATTTTGAAGAAATAAAAACATTTTAAAGGTACTAGAAAATAAAGTAAAATTTGTCAAAAATAGACCAGCAAAAAAACTGATTTCTGCTTGAGAATCAGCTCTGATAAATGGTGCAAAAACGAGAAAATGCAAATCGACAATGACAGTTTGCTGATAAAAATGGAAATAACGATAATGTCAAATTTAGTGCTGTATTTGAGAAAGAAAGTAAGAAAAGTTAAATTCTGATAAAAACAAAGCTGCATTAGCCGAGTATAAAAGAAGTGAAATATTGGCTGCAAATATAAAAGTTGAAGTTTGAAGTTGAAAAGTTGAAGTTTGAAACAAAAGTGGAACTGTTGATAAAAAATAAATCAGGGGAAAAAAATTGCTGAAAGAAAAAAATTGCAATGAATAATAAGAATCAGTCAGAAATGCCAAATTTGCAGAGAGAATGAATCCCAGGTAAAAATGAGAAGGAAAATGGCAATAACTTAGTGCAGGGAAACTATTAAGTTGAGGCATATTGGAATAAGCACAGTTCCTAAGTACAAGAAAAAGAAGTTAAAAAAATGGCAACATATTGAGAAAGAGAAGAAAATTCAACACAAGTTTGAAAACGCATACATGATGCTAAATCGGTAAAAGGTAGATTCCTGAGCAAGCCAAAGAAAATGGTGAAATACGGAAGAATTTGATGACATGAAACAATTACCAAGATGATATTGATTCAGAAAATTAGGTTAAATTAGGTAGGTTGCTGGTACTGAAAAACCAGGAAGAATGGGAAGTTAGTAGATGTACAAAAAGTAAATGAGATTAAAGGAGTTAGAAATTGGAACTAGGAAGGCAAGGAAAAAAGACAATTAAGTACAGAGAATAGTTAAGCACAGAGAATGGAAAAAAACTAAAAATTTGAAAGACTTTGGAATCCAATAAAAAGTGATTGAAATAAGTTAGTGCTTAGGAAAATGTAGAACTGGAAATTTGGCCAAAAAGATAAAAACTGAGGAAAATGCCAATAAAAGATAAAAGTTTGTTTCCAAAATTTATTGTCGCTAAAATTATAATTTTATTAAAACAAAGAAAGCATAATTTCCTTTTACTTTTTTTGTTTTTAAAATAAATATTAAAGTTGCAGTGTGTAGATAATGCAACTAAGTAATTTAGAGTTTCGTAGTTAGATGTTAGATAGTGTAAATAAGGGAGGTATTTAATATTTATGTGCGTGTATGTATATATATATATATAGTGTGTATGACTTGTAATTTTTATTTAGCGCTACTATCTTTCTTTCATCTTTCATGAGCTTATGTTTTAATAAGATTTTTTGGTTAATAAATATTATTGATATATAGATACTAGGTTATTATCGATATACAAGAGAGTCTATGTTCAGGGAAATAGTAGTTTTTGTACAAAAGTTTTCATTTCAATAGTGTAAGCAAGAATTTTTTCTTTGGTCAGGGTACCACTATACCAACAGTAGCTTTGAATATCATTGAATCACATTGGAAGAATAGATTTGATGGAAAGATGACATTTACAAAGAATTTACAGTTTTGTAAAAAAAAAAGGACACATTTTTTTCTTGTAGCATGTAAGGATTTCCTGGGAAAATGGAAGGATTTCCTAACTACAATTCACTAAGCAAAGGATTTTATTTCTGTGCGTTAGCAGAGGGATGAAAATAATGGACAGAATCCAAAGGAATGAGGGAACGAGAGGTGAATGGATGACTTTTAGTACAGTGGTGCTGAAAACTGAAGAGAGTTAGAAGTTTTTTTTTTCTGATGCATAATAGCAAGAAGCTGGTTACTCTATAATTCTGATTTGCCAAAATTCTTCAACAATGCTCAACTTATATTTTCTTATTTGAAAATAATTGTTTTTTTTAAATAAATTTTTTTAATCTTATTCGTAATTAATGTTTATGCTAAGCTGGAGTATAGAAATTCTATATTAAGCTTGCAAAATAAAAATCTGCTACTTTACAATGAATTCACAATAAAACAAGCTTAACACACATGTCATTCTTTAGGGAAAGAATACTAACTTCCTCGCTCAAAGTGAGGCAAAGATCTTTTATCAAATCCATCATGAACTCTATGACCACTGATAGATTGCTGGCCTACACAAGCTACCATCTGACTGATATTGATGTTGGATCCTGAAAAATAACATAAAAATAAAAACTCTCATTTTACTACAATTAACTTTTTCAAAACACCAAATCATAGAAAAATGTTTTCATTGATACTTCTGAGGACAGTTAATTAAAATAAAATAATATATTGACAAAAATACAAATGACACAATTTGCAAATTTTCTTTAATGTAAATGAAATAATTTTTAATGCGGTGATATTTTGATTTTATTTCTTTTAAACAACTTTGCAGAAAATATTACTTGCATTACTGTATAAATATAATATGTTTCTTGACACTTATTCTGACTGCCCATTCGTCTTTCGGGTTAAAATAAAAATGCAAATTTCAATAGAATGTTTTCACAATGATTGTTGTCACATTTGCAATTAATCACATAATTATAATTAATATTAAAATTATTTATTGCGATTACATCAGGTGAGAAGTAAACTTGAAATACTTTTGGAGAAGTAAACTTGAAATACTTTTGGAGTGTTATGGGTAAAAGTTTTAAAATAGATTACAAAAAAAAATTTTGCTAGATTAATTTTGATGTATAAAAATAGTACCTTTAGATCCACATTGAGCCATTATTAAAGGACTATTGGTTTTATGAAGTTCTTTAAGACAAATCTGGAAAGCTCGCTCTCTTATAGCAGATAATTCAGCCATAATTTTATTCTGAAAAAATAAATTGGAGTTTGAATTCAGTTCGTTGACAGAAATCAATAAGAACACAAAAAATTTATTAATAAATACCTCTAAAGTTTCCTCTTCACTACATCCAGGTAAATGATCCAGGGCTCCTTTTTTTAAACTCTGAATATACTCTTCACATTTAGCATAACTATTGATAAACAACAATTTTTATTAAGTGAATCTATAGCAATTAAAGAAAGAGATTGTGTGCATGAGTGCTAGATGGAATAATAATGATAATAATAAAATAAGATAATTTTAAATTTTTTATCTTTCATAATATATGCATCAATGAATAGAATTAATTAATAATGATTAAAAAAATATTAAAAATTTTTCTAACATTGTACAAAAAATAGATTATCACATATTAATTTTAATAATAAAGGCAAGTTCTATTCATTACCCTTCTTGTACTAATTCACCCTTTCCTTTCAACAGTCCAATACCAGGAGTAACATCGCCGATTCCAATTGAAAAACCTCGGTTGGCTGTAATGAAAGCAAAAATACAAAATAAAAATTTAAACACATAAGATTACATTTAAAGTTGGACCACGTTTAAGGAGGAAATTAATAATAGCCCAAGAAGTGAAAATGCAGCACAAAACTGAAACAACTTTAGCATAACAATAGAGTGATATAAATTATATAACACAAGAACAAAATGCAGTGATGGTGTAGAGTTTGTATTTCACGCAAAGAAAGTAAACTAAATAAAAGAATTGAATTGAATAAATGATTGAGGCCAAGCAAAACAAAAAACCTGAAGGGATAAGAAACATTAGTACTATAATTTTAGGAAGAAAGGCTGTCCTGGCACATATACAGCAGTTACAAAATATATGAAAGAAAAAAAAAAAAATTTTCATTACATATGGCACATAATTGCAAATCTTACCATGCTGAAAGAGAACGAACTAAGCACATGTGTTATAAATGATATATTATACATAAATGAAATGATTATATAGTTTGAAAAATTATCGAAACAATTTTAATTTATAATAAAATAAAAAGTCTATTTGTATGTCTGTGTGCTTTTCTTTTATTACTCCAGAATGCTTTATCATCCTAAAATTTGGAAAGCAGCAGTATGGAGTGATTTGAAAATCCAAATGCTGGATCCCAAAATTTGTTCAAAAATTTCAATTAGATCATTGATTTTGGAAGAGAGTGTTTATAATAGAATTTACTCACTGGTTAAATGTTAGCCATTGTTTTAATGGGCATAAATGGTTATGGACATTAAACATGGCATAAATTGCCATTCTATTATTGACACCAATGATGATTAGGTATATTTGATAAAAAAATACCAACTGAAACAAAAAATAAGTTATGTACAAAAAAAATCAAAATTGATGGAGAAATGGTACTATTTTGCTTAGAGAGAAGTAAAAAATCACCATATTTTTGGACATCAATGATGTTTAATTAAGTTTGGTAATAGACACTAATTGAAATAAAAAAAAGTTTAGGAAGAATGAAAAACATTGCCATGCTATTATTGTCACAAATGATGCTTAATTTATTTTGGTGATAGTCATTACTGATACTATGGTAATTGTTGCAGTTTAAATGTGCATCAAATGCAATAAAGGTCTAAAGTATTTTCTTTATTTAGTTTTACATGCTTTAAACATTCTTTTAACAAGACTAAAACAGTCTTCGGTTTTGTAGTGACAGTCACTAAATGTGCTATCCTTTTCTTACATTCTTTGAACCCGTTTTCTTCCATTCATGCCAGCCCCCCCCCTTTTTTTAGCAATAATGCTCAACTGAGTTCATAGAAGAAAGGAGAATTGCTCTCTTGCTGAAAGTGTAACATAAATAAATATTTAAAGATGATTTTTTTGGGTTTTATTATTAGTTTACTGACCATAAAAGAAATTGAGATCTTTTGATTTGCGAAACCTGCTTTTGGCGACGGTACGTTTTCTCCATTCAACTTATGCGGGTGAACTAAGTGTATCCAGGTGGTCTTCTTCATTTGTTGTTTGTAGATCATGACGTTATTCTTTTTCTGTAGTACAAGAACATGTAGTAATGAAGCCTTAAGTTGAAGCTTGTTTAATTGCATTCATTTTGTTGCTTTTCAGTTACTCTGCAACTCTATTTGTTAGAGATTAGTATGCATGTTTACAAGTTTATATGTTTTTAAATAAACTATATTTCCATGGAAGCTCATTTCTGCCTTTTAATAAAAGTTAGTATTAATTCATATTGATGTTTTTTGCAGAAGTAAAAAAGAAACGATAAGCGAGAAAAAGTTATTCAGAAAAAAGATGGGAGAGCATGGGGTAATGAGCATGAATTTGTTCCGTAGAAGAAGAAAACTTACCAAGATAGTAAGATGAAAGACGTGCCAGTTTCAACATAGCATTCGCTGCATAGCTAGGTCCATAATCTCTCAACAGAATGTAAAATATAGTAGTCTTTGATCCAGAACCTAAGGTTTGTTTTGTCATTGTACCAGACAGCAACTCACTATTTCTGATATTGACAACTGCAACAGATAAAATGGAAAAAAGACTGAAATATTATTTATAACAAGAAAAAAAATGCTACATGAAACTGTTAAGCATAAGAGCATACATTTGATTTTAAAAATGGCAATAAACGATTTTATTAAAGGATGGTTTTAACATGTTTTGATTTTGTAATGATTCCATTCCTACAGATTTGATTTCAAAAACATAGCTGCCAACATGAAAGTGAAAAAATCTAGTACATTGAAATGGTAAAATTGATTAAATATGATAAAATTGAATGCAATTCTTACATGTATCATTGATGCACATTTCTTCTAGAGCAGTATAAGCAGAAGTTGATTTTCCTTTTCCAGCCTTTCGAAGATTTATAAGTATTTTGCAAGTTTTATTTGGCTTCAGAATCAAGCTGAATATTTGTTTACCAGTCCACAATGTGTAGGGCTTTAAAAACAACAAAATAAAATAAATAATGCATGCATTTTTCAATGAATTAAGTAAAATAAATATATAACTACTTTATTACCTTTATTAATGCTGGAGGTGGTAAGTCAATTTTCATGAGCAGATCTTCATTTGAGAGTACACTAGTAATGATTTGTTGCGCTTCTGACTTTGTAAGAAATGTATCTTTATGCGTTAATAAATATGCACCTAAAAAAATACAAAATGAATTAAACGATTACACTTAAGAAACTGAAACAGAAAGTTCGTATAAAGATGATAATGAAAGTCAAGATACTTTGAGCACTCAAAAATAGATACCCGTAAATCTCAAAAGAATGAGCGTCTATTTTGGAGTTCTTAAGTTTAAATGGAGATAAAATATGAGTAGAATCATTTAATATGTAAGCAAATTAATATATATATATATATATATATAGAACATCAATAAAAAAGAATAATCCTGTTAGGAGATTGATAAATTGTAATTTTTTTATTTTTAGAAAATGGAAACAGATAAGATATCTAAGATAAAAAATCAAAAAAAAAAAAAAAAAAAAAATAAGGGAAGTTTTGTAATTTTATCAGGTCACAAGATTTTTTTAAAATTAAAAATATATACTATCAACACTAAAAGAGATTATCATAAATATTTGAATAAGTTCAAAGACTCATAGAAACTAAATGCAATACCACATTACAAAAATAAATTTATTACTTAAAGCAACAACCATATTAAGGTGTTCAATGTAGAAACTAATAAATTCAAATTTAAAAACTGATTTGCTATCTTTTATATTGAAAACTCACAGCAACAAGGACTGCTTTCAAAGTGATTTTTATTTAAGATAATTTAAATTAAAAAGTACATAGTATGACAGTAAACCTGTAATGAAATCCTGTATGGCAGCAACTAAAGGATCACCATTTCGTGGAGTTACCAAATTGTTTGTAACCTGAAATGAAAATAGATTAATTTTATTTTTGCAATAAAATATTTTTAGAGATCAAGACTTGCATGAACTAAGAATTGGTGACTTATATTCGGAGTACATTGCTTGCTGCATATAAAAATAACATTCTGAGAGTATTTGATTTTATAAAGCTGAAATATTTACACCCAGGGAAAAAATGTTTGCAATATAAACTTAATAAATACCCAAAAAATTAAAATGATCCCTACATTTACATTTTCCCCCCACTGAATTAAACATGAGCTGCAATTTTTAATTCACAGAAGGTTTTGAATTATTAGTGTATTTGCTACATTAGCAAAATTTGAGGTTAAAAATTCAATGTGGTTTAAAATTAAATTTTTCTAATTTTTAATATTTTTTCTTTGTTTAAAGTTTATTTTGAAATATTAAACATTTATTTTTCAGAAATCTCTATTATAGACAGATTTAATTTATTGAATGATAACATAAACAGTTATCATTTGGATTCATTTGCACTGCTCGCTCTATATTTTTTCTTTTTAACTATCACCCTTCAATTTCCCTAAGAAGAGAAATCCACATCTGTAAGTTTGTTCAGAGATGGTAGAATGGAAACTGTTAATTATAATGTCCTACATCTTTCAAAATTAGAGAAAATATAAGATTCTATTTATTCAGACAAGAAAAAGCTGAATTTTTCATTTTCAAAACATATGCCTAACAATTATATGATTTTACAAAACAGCACTAATGATTTACATTATAACGCATGTTTCTGATGATAAATAAAGGTTCAAGTATGAGAAACAAAGATGACAGACACTAAGACATACCCCCATTAAAATGAGAGCTTCAGCTCTTGCTTCAAGAGTTTGAGGTAAATGAATATTCATTTCATCTCCATCAAAATCAGCATTGTAGGGAGTACAGACACATTCATTAAAACGAAAAGTTCTTGTTGGCACAATTTTGGCCTGAAAAAAAACGACAATTGAACACAAAAGTTACTTTTAAAATATAAACATAGGAACTAGTAAGTATTTTTATACTTTGTGCGCCATAATGCTGAGTTTATGCAGAGATGGCTGCCGATTAAATAACACAATATCTCCATCAAGCATATGCCGTTCAACAATGTCCCCACACTGAAATTATTATTAAAAAAATGACATGAAAACAAATTCTTAAGAATAAAAATAACAATTTTCAGCAATTAGTTGTCTATTAGTATATCTCATTACACCAAAAATACAGAACACAAATCTTAAAATTATGTAGTTGTACCTTTATGTTGTCAGCAATTCTTCGCCTATTGGCATAGTTTAAATCACTGAAATAGATGAACAAATAATTAAACAAATGATGATGAAAAATGCAAAAAGAAAAAAAAAAGAAAGGAAAAAGAAAGAAAGCAAAAGAAAATAACTTACCTTTTCATTTTTGTATCCCTATCAATATAAAAATTAGCTCCAGGATGTTTGCGACCCCCATTCATTATAAGAATTTTCAACTGTTTCTTATTATGTGAAGTCACCTAGATTTAATATTATAATAAGAAAAAGCAGTTTTGAAATGTTTTCACACACACAAGATTCATGATTTGAAAGCACAAAATCAAATTTTCTTTTTTATTACACTAATCACAACATAATAATCTCAAGTGAATAATCAAAATAACACATATATACTTAACAAAGTATATTTAAAATCAGGCTCGATCTGAATTTAAATAAAAAATAGTGTCATTTAAGGTTATTTATACATAAATATATAGTTTAAAATATATTCAATACAGAAAAAACAAAATAATATAACACTATACAACTGTCAGATTTGTAATTTAATGTAACACCAAAATATTCAATAAATTTTTAATAAAACCAAATTAATATAAATTTCAACTTTAGATGCATAAAAGTAAATATAGTATCTTAAATATCTACCTATTAAATTTATTTAAAATAAATAAATTAAAATGGAGTTTTCAATACATAATGCTTGAAATAAATGTTTAAAAGTAGTATGATATGATAAAAAGTTAAATTTTGGCATTCATAAAAGTATTTGTGAGTAATTGAAAAAAGAAAAGCAAAGCATACTTACCATCTCAGGAAAAGTTAAAGATTTTGCTACGTGAACAGGAATACCAACCTTTAAAAAATTTTCAGCATTAAAAAACTTCAGATAAATTCAATCATAAAAATCAAGCAAAGGAAGTAAATAAGTAAAATTACACTCACATTGTCAATAGGTAAATTTGGATCAGGTGATATCACAGTTCTTCCAGTAAATTCAACACGCTTCCCAGATAGGTTACCTCGAAATCGACCATGTTTACCTTTTAATCTTTGAATTATGCCTCTTCCAGCACTTTTCTTTAGAATCTTAAAAATAAAAAAAATTTCTAATGAAATCATACAATTCAATATTATTTTCAATGCCATAAACCAGTGGCTCCAAACTGCAGACCACTTACTGGGTCATAGACTAACCAAGTGTTTTAGCCAAGATAAATTTTAGGATCTAGTTCTGTTCTTTTTTAAATAATTCACTAGTGTTAGTGAGGTGTGGCATTAAACATTAAAATTTAATTCTCCCCTAAGTGTATATTTAACTCATTAATATGTTTATATATTCACCATATAAACAAAATAGACGTCAATTAGTCATATTTTTACTTGATTGTTAAATAGTATGCACTTCTGTTTAAAAAGGAGCAAAACACATAAACACGTGAGGAAAGGGAAAGAGTAAAATATAACTTTTGGTGCATGTTTTAAAAAATTTAAAAATAAGTGCATTAAGTTTCACTTGCATAGTTTTTTCTTTTCTTTTTTCAAAAGTAGAAGCAATCTTTAAAATTGTGGTTGCTATTCTAAATTGTTGACTTTATGAGCTTTAAAGAAATCCTAAATTTTTTTTTCAGAGTCGTGCTCTGTTACACTTTGACAGGTTATATAATTTGCTAGAGCTGTGCTATAAATTAATAACTTTTTAAAGCAAAAGAAGTTGAATTTTAAACATAAAATTATGATATGATTCCCAGGTGCATACTTAAAAATGCTTAGAATACAATAATATGTAAATATTTACAATAAAAAATTACCAAATTTTCTATAGCATTTACTAACACATTAAAATAGAACATAAAGCCTTTTACTCTATGAATGTCTGATAATTAATTGAATTATTTCATGCAAAAAAGCTTCTTATTACATAATTTTTTTTTCAAACTTAGTATTTTTAAATGTTTAAATTTGATTTATAGGAATATTTAAAAACAGAAAGGATTGGTAAGTTTATAAAACTATTAGAACCATAAAAAATAAATAGCACTGAATATCAAATAAATAGTTGCGAGGAACTCAAACTGTAAGATATTACCTTTTGAAAACTTCATAAGCTTCAAAAATATACAAAAATGAGATGATAGTCGATATGTTTCAATTGCATCAAAAATAGACGCCCATTTTCAAGACTTGACAGACGTGAATGTAACAAAACAAAAATGATTTGGAAAAAAACAATATAAAGTAGTTAACGGAAAAATAAAGGTAAGGAACAAAAACTAGAAAAACCACAGAAGCCGAAAGAGAAAAAAGGTGAAAACAGAACATGAAAAAACATGGTAGTCGAAAGGCAAATTAGGGTAAAATGTATTTCCACACGTTATAGAGAGATGGGGAGGAACTAATGTCAGTAACAAAGGAACCAGCATTTAAATGAATAAAATAAGATTCCAGGGTATCAAGATTTTAGCATTGTCGAAATTGAAATTTTGACCAAGTTTCCAACAATGTGAAGCAATTGAAAATTTTGCGAATTCTTGATAATGAACATATCTAATGTGTTTCTCAAGTATAAATTTTAAAAAGCATTTAGTTTGTCCAATGCAGCCAAGGTTGTACTAAGAAGATAGTAGTACATGATAATTGCTGGGGAAATTTCTCTTGGTCACTGTGCTTATTCTCATTCTGATTTTTATCTTCTTTGTCTCTCAGTTCATATGGTTTTTCTGTCTGTTTCTTAACTTTATTTTTCCATTTCTCATTGGCAACTTTAAGTTTTTTTTTCAAAACACTTTTGTTACATTCACGCTTGTCTTGTCTTGAAAATGGGCATCTATTTTTGATGGGCTTGAAACAGGTTGACTGCCATCTAATTTTTGACGTGTATGAAGTTTTCAAAAAGTAATACTGAGTATGTTGATGTTATTTTCATTTCAAGTGATGGACAAAAATCTCTTCTTAAAATAAATTTTTTTTTTTTACAAGAACAAATTAGTATTAAAAAAAATTACCTCTGGATCTAAAGTTACGCCAGACAACTCACTGTTGATATGAAGAGCAACACACTTTTGTAAACTATCCCAACGTTGCTAGAGGAATAAAAAAAACATTTAAAAGTTGAAATATGAAATGTAATAAAGAAACATACTTTAATTTAAAATGAAAATGTTCGGAATTTAGTCCTTTTATCCAACGATGTTAAAGAGTTACTATACATGGGTAATATTTTCTGTAGGAAGTGGAAGTAGAGTCAAATTTCACCATAAGAAAAGGAAACTCTCAATTCCTGGTCAACTTAATACGGAGTTATGGACAAGGTATTTTTATCTGTGGGAATCTCAGAACTATAGGTATGGACTCCTTTTTTTAATTTATTATAATTAATGTGAATTATTCAGAGTATCTATTATACACAAATATAAAATCAAAAACTCCTAATATTTGTGAAACAATTAGAGTTTAAAAATTACAGCAGATTCATTTGCTACTTTTATTACATTATTTATGTCATTATATGCTGAATAAATTGCTAATTTTTTAAAAATTTTTTATTTTTGGCTAAGAAATTATTTCTGACACAGAATTTAGAAAATGTATTAAAATTTTATCTTTACATTTAAAGAACTGAAATTGTATATAAACACTTAGCTGTATTTTAGCATACTTTTGTGAATCTTGGCAAAGTAAAGAAAAATGATACATACAAATAACAGAATACTGATACCTAGGGACAGTTCGGGTAGTTTTGCAACACAACTAAAAGTGTTATAAGAATATAACAACTTATTATAGCATCAGTAAGTATTACATTAATTAAAAATAAATAATATATTTTGAAATAAAGAAAAAAGACTGAAGTTATTCATCGTAAACAAGCAATAGTTACAGAAGAAAATGGTTATTTGCATTCAGGCATTCTATTAATGAAAAAATATATAATTTTGCAGTAAAAGAAATATAAAAGTTTATTGCGTAAAATTAAACCACGAGAAAAAGTTTAGATTTTTTAGTACTTTAAACTATAAAAATAAGGGTTGGCAAGCTTTTAACAATTGACAGTTTTAATCATTCTGTAAAAAAACTCCTTTTGACATAGTTTTTGCCAATTGTTAAAAACATGAAGTTTGGTCTAATTATTAGATTATTCTACAAATTATTTTAAATGTTAAAAACCCAACATATTCATGTTAAAAACCCAACCCTGAAAGAATAAACAATACAGAAATAATAAATATAAAATTAGATAATTTATTTATTTGACTAATATCAATAGCTTGTAAATATTTATCTTATAAAGATTTTTATGAACAATGTGACAAAACAGGTTTAATTATTATTAAAAAATAACTGTAATTAGATGTTTTGTATTTACTCAACACATTTTTACATACATTTTGCATAAAGAGTCAAAATTTATGAATTAGGAAAAAGTAGATCAATTGAAAAAAAAGAGGGCTGTTGAAAATTAATGCCACTTTATGCATACAAAAAAAAGGTAGAAAATCACTTTATTTACCATTCGTATCTTGAAAGGAGTATTTTCTACACCAAGTTCATTATTTATTTGTATTATATTTGCTAGTTTAGTAGTCATGTCATCTTCATTTCTAAAGACAAAAATTAATTTCACACACAGAAAAACTCATTGTTCATATAACTAAAAAGTATAAGGGAAAAGTGATAGAGTTCAAGACATTAAAAAAGACAACAGAATTTTCACTCAAATTTAGAAATGAAACTCCTCGATTTTTCCAGGTTTCCCATAAAAGTTTCAACAGATTCTAAATTACTTTACTGCAATACACGAAAATATTTAACGAGAAATATGATTTTTCTTAATTCGATAAGCAATTACATTAACTTGGTAACAGAAATAATAAATTGTGTAAAAGAAAAAAAAATTCAGTAGATGAACTAACATGTAGAGTTTTGTTTTATGTAGAGTTTGAATATATAAGTATAGAAATTATTGATAAAAACAATATTTTGCTAAAAAAAATGGAAAAAAAATTAGAAACTCAATGTAAAATAATTTAATAAAATAGTCCCTAGTAAAGTAGTCAGTCATCATCGATCTTACTTACGATTAATAACCAAAATTAATTCATGCAGAAAACTTATTTTTTAAAAAAAAAAACACAGTTGAATTGCAATAGTTATATTTAAGAAAAAATTTGAAACGAACTTTTAACTAATTAGTACTTATTAATTGATATTCTAATTTTAATCAATCTAAAAAGATTTAACAATGTTGTAGCATTTTACAAGAAATATTGAAAATAAATGTTAAATTTATTTAGTTTGAACCTCATCAGTAAGTATTACATTCATTGCTACCAAAAATTTTCCAGATTTGTTGGAGTATTTTTCCAGATTTTGTTCGAAAATGACATTATTCCCCTGACAACTTTAGGTTCTTTCAAGTTTTCCTGACACAGTGGGAACTCTGGATGAAGTATATACATTATTTTTACTTATTAACAATATGTTATTATACAATACGAGTAAATAAAAAAATAATACCATTCTCTTTTAGGATCTTAAAAATTTATTTCAATTTCAGGTATGACAAAGAATCGGTTGAATTACACAAATTCTTAAAGCTATATAGGAATGGCTAAACTAAGCCATAATTTCTTTTTTAAATCGTTAGATTTAATCATTTACAAAAAACTAGTATTAAAAATGCTTGCATAAAAGGTGCAATATTTACCCAAAAATATTTAATTTTATGATTTAAAACATAAATTTAGAATAAGAATATACAAATGAATTTTTTATGGAGACACTATAAAAAGTATTAAAACAACATAATAAATAAAAATAATTCTTTTTATATATAAAATTATTCTATTGCAAAACAGTAATTTTGTCTGTGATTAAAATTTAGGAATTTATAATTACTTAAAACATTAAATCCATTGCAATCATTACATTAAGTTTAGTAGGCCCTGTAGTGATCAAAAGAGAAAATCGGAACAATTTTTGAAAAACAACATCAATTTAAAAGAGGCAACATTTGTTCTATATAAATACAATAACAATTTAACTTTATTAATGGAGTACTGAACAACTCATCAAAATTGGATATTAATGTATGGTAAATTTTTATAGTACTGTTGCGTGAAAAAATAAAATAGTTAATACTTACTCATATTGAAATTTAATTTATAATTTGTCATTGAGTACAAAACATAATTAAATAATAATTTTAAAAAAAAGTTTCAACAATAATGGAATAAAATAAAAAAGTTAATTTATTTGATTAAAAAAATATTTAAATAAATGTTTTTAGAAACATTAGAATTCCATGTAATAAATTTATTTATAAACTTAAAATCGTTCTTTTTGTCGCAAATGTCAACAAAGCAGATATTTTCTTCTTCTTAATACTTACAACCAAAAAATTAAAATTAATATTATCATTATGATTACAAAGCAATTTTAATTCCTCAGGATAAATATTATTTAACAAAATTGTATAACTGTGAAAATTAAAGATAATTAAATGATCAATAAATTAATAAACAGATTTGAAATTTGGAGCATAAATTTTTTCTTAATAGTGTAAAAACAAGTTACCCAGAAGTCACCAAAAATTAGATCCTTTGAAGTATTCGAATAAAAAATGTTTTTCATTTTAAAAATAATTATTTAAAAAAAACATATTAATTAGAATTTTACAGTAATGAAATTCACAATTGAGGATAGTTTTATAATTATAGTAATAACTTAAAAGAACATCTTTTAGTTTTAAAAATTGGAATGCCATTAAAGAGATCTTAGAAATCAGAGGTTGCAATAGATTTAATTTGATTGGGCTGATAATTAAGTATAAGAATTGTACATTATTAATTTTAATTTTTAACTTGTTATAGAAAGCTAAATTTTTTAATGATAATATTATTATTTATAAAGAGTTAGAGTCACGATTGCGTGAAGTCCACCTCCAATGGATCCCTTCTCACATTGGGGTTCTGGGCAATGACATCGCCGACACTCTGGCTAAGGAGGGGACGAAAGAAAATCTGATAAGTCCAAATTCCCTCACCTTCATGGAGCTGGCATCAAAAAAGAAAAAAGAAGACCTCGCTTCCTGGCTCGTACCCCCCAAACATCACTGGTACCAGAGCACCAGTCCAGGAGGTGCACTCAACATTCGGTGCAACCGCAAGGACCAGACTGCACTTATCAGGCTTATCAGCGGCCACCTTAAGTCCCTTTCTTTTGAGGGTAGTATTAAAATCTACCCTAACTGCCCCAGGTGCCACAACATGCAGGCTTCCCCCCAACATATACTGGACTGTCTAGGTCTGGACAAAAGGGACATTCTTAATAACACACTTATGGTGGCCGACTTCCTCCGGGTGATGAATTTCATGGACATAGTTTAGCCCTGCTAATTTTGGGGATAAGGAAGAAAAGAGAAGAGATTATTTATAAAATTAAAGTTTTTACGATTTAAATATTTTTTATTCAGTTCAATGTTGAATTTTTTTTACAGAATTAATTGCTGTTAGCTACCAAAATTCTCTACAAAATTCTCTTGAAGTTGCTTTTTAGCAATATTAAGAAAAATTAGTTCAATTGTTGCATTAATTTATTATTATTTCATTATTAAGAATAAAGTTTTTAAAGAAATGATAAACAGTCCAGTCACCCTAAAGATAAAGAGAATCTATTGGAAATTTTTAGATAAAAACTAATTAAACTATTTAAAAACCATTTTAGAATTTCATTAATAGAAATATGGTAAATTGGTCTAATTTTTATGCTTTTAGACATTAAATTTTAGATCTAAATTTTTTGAATACTTAAATTATCTATATTATATGTTTAAAATATATTTATTGGCAAATTCGCAATATTTTTTTTTCTTCACAGCGACATTTATAATCAGAAACTCAGTTTTCCTACATATTTTTCTAATAAAAATAGTTCTATTAAGGGTTTTATAGCTTTTAATTATATAAAATTATTTTGATAAAAACAAGTTCGCTAAATTGTCAGATAAAATATGAAATTCAAACTTAATTGGGCTTCGAAAACTAATAATAAAATATAAGTCACCTAAATTTTTCCTATTATACAGCAAAATTTTACTCATTTTAGCTTTCACAAAATCAAAGTAAAGAATTTTTAAGTGTAAATTAGAAAAGGAAAAGTAGTTAATAAAATCTTGAAGTCTAGATATGTCATTATCTGTAAGGGAGAAAACAAATTTTTTCATTGGTTTTTGGTTTCATATAGTAATGTTTATTAGATTTTTTTTCTTAATAGAAATAAAATGCACATTTAAATTGCCATTTTTAAAAGAGTTTTTATTACATCTTGAACCTTGATTACTTCTATTTGCATGCTTATCTTCAATTTGAAAAAGTAGAGGAGTTAATTTAATCTCTGTATTTATCCCAGTATCATTTATCCTATAAGGCAATTTATCTTATATATATATCATTTATATCATTATTATATAAAATTTATCCCATATATGGTTTTGTGTAAAAGCATGTAATAATTTTCATTTTTTTTAATTTTTAAATCAAAATCCACTACAATACGTGAAACATTAATTTTAGCACTATTAAAATCATGTATTCTAAAATTATTGAATTTCAGATTATTTATAATTTTATAACTATTAATATCTGGGCAATGTTGGTCAATTTAAATGTTAAGGAAGTTACTAGTTTGTCCAATATAATTCATATTGCAAGCCTTATTTTTCAAAATATCAAAGAGTTTTTGGCTAAAAACGTGAACACAACAAGAATTTCTTGTTCTGTTATCTGGATAAAAATTCTGTATCAATCAGGAATCAATACTAAGAAGTAGTTTGATATAAAATATCACCTTTAAAAAGCTGGGTTTTATCAATATATGGCAATCAGATAACAAAGGGCCTATTCATCCAACTGAATTTTTTTTTATTTATTTTTGTCATCCAAAATTACTGAACACTGACTTAAAAGTATAAAATAGGACAAAAGTTGCTAAAAGCAGGAACTTTTAGATTAGGCCAGGGTCGCTCTTCCCTCAGATGCAGAGTCACCGCATAAGAAAAGAAAATTACTAAATGTTTCACATTTAACAAATATTTGATAAGAAATTACTTATAACGACAGAAACAATTGCTCATATAATTAATAAAAGGCAACATCATTTTTGAAAGAAAATAAAAACATTAAAAACCCAATAAACTTGGATCAAAAATCATTTTAAAATAATCTTTCAAAATGAAAATATGTGCGTCTAAATTCTTCAAAAATAAATACTTTCTTTTTTTTTTTTTTACTTTTAAAAAATAGAACACTGCAAGAAGACATTTAATGTGACAACAAAATATGAGTAACATATTTCAATAATGTGAGCAAAAGAAAGAACTTACGTCCCAGATTTCAATTCGGATATGACAGATGGTCGAATACAGAGAGGAGGAACAGGTAGTTTGGAAAACAATAAATGCTCCGGACGTCCAGAAGATGATTTCATTGAAAGCAGGGGAATATCCTATTAAACACAAATCTAAATAAATGTGGCAACAAAAACAAAATTCATGCAATTTTGTTAATTTCTATTTCAAGCGATAAGTAATGACATCATAAGCAGGATTTGTACTTTTTTTTTTGATTATTGAAAAAAAAAAAACCTTTAATTTGATTTAAACCAGATTGTTTTTAAAGTTACTCTGCGAATTTTATTTTCTAATTAATCAAAAAGTTAATTTAAGCAAATGAATGATTCAAAATTATTGAAAATGGAATAGAAATGCATCATTATTAACTACTTAAAAAAAAAGGCTAAAATAAATAAATCTCACGTGTCTTTTTTTTTTAAAAATTTCTTTTTGCAAGTACTTTTTTTAAAACATTTCTAAGTAAAAGGATACCTTATTTCATTACAACAACGTGCATCAAAATTTGAGAAATTTCAGGGTATTTCTTCTTATGCATGGCAAATATTATTTGGCAGAAAAAAAGTCACACAAATTTACACATATTTTTTTAAAATTTAAATTCAGTAGCTCAAAATCTGAAATGTTTCTCAATAACGAAACAAAATAATCAAACTAAATTTAAATTATTCTGACATGAAAATACAAGATTTCAAAGATAAAATTATATTTACCTCATCAACAATTCTTTCAAACAATTTAAGAACTTCAGTAGGGTTTAAGTCTTTCTGAAATATTTAAACAAGTACTATATAAACAATATTTGAATAAACAATATTAGTTGCAAGTATAATAATAAGTTAATACATCAGGCCCAACTAATTATAAGCATACTATTGTGCTGCAGTCTATGCATTACCTCATACAACTTGTTTTTCAGCTGCTCTAATTCTTTATTGTATTTCAAGGACTCTTGATATGTCTCTAACAGTTCTAAGGAAAAAGCAGCATTTTTCTTCTCTTTTTTGTGCCTGATGTGTACAATCTTAACACAACCAACTTTTTTCACTTGACCTATAAACAGTCAGGAATAAGAAAAGATTGAAATCTACCCACATATATAATAGAAGGGCATAAAAGACAGATGTACCAAATAGAGCGCAAGTAATTTATGACAATACATACTCATAATGCTGCTAGTCAAACAGGAGAAATAAAACACTCAACTTTACTAGGCATATTTTAGATAATTTCAACACAACAGGGTAATGGATGTAAAAATATGCTACCATTCAAAAATAAATATTTGCTTACCATGTATCACATGGTTTTAAAATAATGAACATGATGAATAATAATGAATGAATGATACAAAAACAAAGGGATAAAATAGCAAAATAAACAAATCAGCATTAAAAAAATTAGATGGTATAGTGATAGCATTGGCATATTCAATAATTAAAAGTATATGATTTTCTGAAAATATGTTACTCAGTTTACTGATAAAAATGATCATATTTGCCTCCAACTTGATTAAATATGCGTGTGGCCCTTCATTAGTCAACCTGCTGTGCAAGTGGCCCTTCACTCAAAAAGGTTGTGCATCCCTATCTATACTGATGTTTTTTTAAAGGTTAATTTCCACTGCCCGGGATACTCTAGAATCATGTATTTTTAAAGTTAAGTGATATCGCCTTGCACGCCCAACCCTTTTGCTTAAAATTGACTGTAATACGAGTGAACTTTGGATTTTATAGGGTTGCAATACAGGGTTATTCACAATTCCCTCCGGTGTTTCGAAGCGTTGTAGTAAAAAAAACGATGACAAATATGGCAAAAAAGAACACATGAAATTATTCCGAAAGTATTCAAGTTTTAATTTAAGCAATTGCCGGTAGATGACAGTAACATGTACCACTGAAGCCAGTTGTAGTAAACTTAAGGTTGTAGTAAACAGAGGGAATTATGAATAACCCTGTATTTGATTCCAGTTTCGGCATCAAGAGCATAGGTATAAAAAACAGTTGCCTAGTGGTTAAAATTTGATATAGATCTACAATTATTAACGAAATACACGTTTTGTGTTAAAAAAATGACCATAACGCAAGTGAACTTTGAATTTAATAAAGTTGAAAGATTTGAATCTGGTGGGTGCATTGCATTGCAGATGCACATTAAATCTATTACTTTATATACATTTTTGAAATTTTACTTTATCATTTCATTGGCATTTTACAGAAATATATTTCATAAAAATTATGGAAGTATTGAATGGTAGAACCTACGGAACCCTACATTTTCAAGGAACACACATTAAGGAACATAAAAACAGAATAAAGGGTGGAAAGGTTACTTAAGCACCTTTAGGATGCACTTATATTTAAAGAAGATAACTCGCCTTGAGAGGAGGAATCAAACAAATGGAGAAAATTTATTCACAGCTCTTATTTAATTCATTATTGTAATTTGTTGCCTCTGATATTTTTTATTCAGCTGTTGTTTTAGATTTGTTATTAAAGTACAAAATATCTAAAGATTAAATGTACTCTTTTATTTCACGATGTACTTACTTAAATTTTCTGAATGCATTGAAGTAGTAGGTAAAAATCATTAGAAATAATTTGCAAACCAACCTTAAAAATTTACCAACTACCAAATGGAAACCTTTTAAAATGAAATATTAAATAAGTTGAAAATTTTAAACATTACCATTTACTTCATTGCAATATGGGCAGACACTTTTCTTCATGCACTTCTCCAGGATTTCTTTTCTTAAAGACTTCCGTCTATCGTAATCCATGTTAGGTTTTTTAAGAATTTGGACATACTTCTCTCTCTCCTGCTCATTCAAAAGAATGTGTGCACATTTCTGAAACAAGAGGGAATTTTTTTTCCTCAAATTTTTGTAAAAGACATCGATTCTTTTAAAACAAGACCTCTACAGAAATGCTCACATATCTTTTTCGTAAATTTCAGTAAAGTAAACATTCACAACTAAACGTATCATAAATTATTTTCAATTAAAACTCCACAATAACACAAGGAAAATAAAACTATACAGATGTATGGAGTTATAGAAGTTTTTACATTTCTAATTTCTGGCAGTAAAAAATCAATTAAACATGCTCTGAAAGAATAACAAAACATGTTCTATAACATGTAATTCCATAATTGCAAAAATGTTCTAAGTGTGATTTATCTCTCTGGAATTTGAACTTTCTAACCCCGTAATATTGTGACCTTTGGTCTCAAATATTTTTAATTAGCTTTAAATATATTTAAGAAACAGGTTAATATATTGAATACGTGATTTAATATAAATTTTTTTCTCTCAAATGTTACTAATTTTTTAGATAATTATAATTATAATAACTTTAATATTAATGCTAATCAATAACAATTATAACGATAAAGATTATTTAAAATTATTTTTCTCTTGGAAGTTACTTGAAGTTTTTTGTGCAGTAAGTTTATCGGCTTTCAATGATACTCCACTTTTCATTATGAGTGAATTGTAAATTAAAATGAACAGCTAATTTCAGAGTTGGGTCATTTACTACTATTAACATGTGGTTAATATCAAATAATAAAATTCTTAATTTATGTACTATTGTGGAACAATATTTAACTTCAAAAATCGTAAAATTCTACTTTAGAAAGCTTAAATAGTATAATAAACAAGCAATTACACAACTGAAATGATTATTAAGTAGGTACAGTGAATGATGGTTCTTTCACGATCTTGTATAAATACACTTATTGCTTGCATTTTTCAGCTTTGTTGATATTCCTTTTTCTCCTTCAAAAAATCAAGTACCAGTTTTAAAATTGAGCTTTTGTGGCTAAATACTATATAACATGCAACTTAATGGAAAACAATATTAAACAGATACCACATTTGATGCTTTCAAATGTTCATTTTTGATAAAGAAGCCTCACATTCTTCATCGAATCAATCATAGATCACATTCAATTAACATTTAGTTACACAAATAATCGGAGAAAGGATAAAATCATGTTCTACAACACTAAAATGCTTATTAACCCACTGTAGTTCTGCATGTAAAAAGTCGTATTTTAATCTGTTCTCTTCTTCATACAGCAAAACCGATTTTTCCATTTTAATAAATGAGGAAATATTATAATGGGGAGAAACATTTTTCCAATTTCGGTCATTTTGGTAAACCACCAGTGGAAACAATATTTGGGGACAGAAATAGTTATCAAATATTTACAATGGATGATGTTTTGAGATTGAAACATTTTTGCAAAAACCAAATTCTTAAAAATTCTCTTCGAAACTATCATTAACAATCGCCTCCATTGTTATTTATTTTCTCCAACCATACCCAATCTTAGAGAATGTTTAATCTACCGAAATGCATTCCAAGTCAAATTTGATGAATGATTGCCCTTGTAAGGTATATTATGGAAGCTTTTAAATTGTTAAAAGGTAGGGATGTGCCTGCTTGATCATGTAATTAGGATTATTAATCCTTCAAGGATTACAAATTTCTTCAGCAAAATTAGTATTAGTATTTTTTTCTGTTATTTTGTCTCAGCTTAGAAAATACACCTTGTAAATGTTTAATAATTGCTATTTTCAAGTGGTGCAGAAAACCGGATTAACTAACTTCTAGATAATTAGATCATTATCTTATATTTAATTATTATTTTAGAAATGATAATTAGTAAATAACAATGCAGAAAATAAATTAAAGTTTTAATATTAATTGCAAAATGTATATTTTAAAAAAAAATGTGCAGAGAAGAAATTTCAATGCTTTTGAGAAATTTGTTAATCTTATTATAATTGTGTATAATTCTCAGGACCACTTTAAAATATCATTTGACATAATATTTTAATACTTATTGCTAAACAATTGTATTGGTTATTTTTAGTTCCTTCATTTGGTTCAGTTTCTTCCACTGTCCTGAAAGTAAAAGGTTTCTTTCTAACAAAATTCTGACCTCGCTCTTATTACACATTTTACACTCCTATTGTATAAATGATCTCAATAAAATCATGAGTTCATATGTTTTTAGATTCTTGGCATTTCCGGCAAAATTAAATTCCTAGTGCACTTTAGCATCCAAATAGAGTCTCGGTGCTGCCATCTAGTGTGGCAGAAACTAGACGTCCAAATTAACATGACCAGCGGTATCTCACCCATTGTGGTGGTCCTGAAAGAGTGGATACCACCTCTGGAGAACGCACTAGGTCTGCTCATCGGCAAGACCGATTGTGCAGCTCATTGGAAATAAAAAAAAAAAATGTTTTTAGATTAATAACTTGAAACAGTGAAGAATTTTCACACACGCACAAACTTTGTTCTGAGGTACTTTAAGTTTGTCATACCTTGCATATCATCTGAAGAATTGCTCGAATGAAAGGAATAAAGCCAGGATGAAAAACAGGTAGGTTCAAATCTATGTAACCAAAATGCCCTATACAGTCACTCACTGGCTTTCCACAAGTCTCACAATTAATGCCCTTTCTACTTGTTCCCTAGACAAAAAATAAAAATTTAATTATTCATCATATTTAACTTACAATAATGAACCTCTATTATACAGTTGCATAAATAAAAAGACAATAGAGAAAAAAATAAAACAACAAATTAATCAATGAGACTTGGGCTTTAAGATGATGAAAAGTGAGCAAAAAATATAAAGGGTATCAATAATTACAATACAATTTCCATAACATAAACAAATAGAAACTACTACAAACCTGTGAGAAGTTTTAGATACTAAAAGAGCAAGTTTTAGAATATCAAATAAATATAAATGATACACATATGCACTCAGGGGTCTGTCCAGACATTTTGTGAAAGGTCCGTTTTTGTAAAATTGTACAAAAATTACTCGCAATTTGTGAATATAAAATAAACGTTAAGTCACATTCTTTCAACCAGGGTCCTGCTTTTGTGAATTTGTGCAAATAGGGTCCTGTTGTAACAAAAAACTTATTCAAGGAGTTTTTAAATTGTAAAGAGATATAAGATTATGTTCAACACTGTAAAATTATAATTAAAAAAATTAAATTATAAAAGATAAACAGCAATTGCTGCTACTAAATAAGAGATGCAACATACAAATATTTGGTATTTAGCCTATACTGCTGAACGCAAAATATTCATTTTTGGACTAAAAAAGGAAGAAGCGTCTGCCGAAGACAAAACTTAGTTCATTTACATCTGTCTCTCCCCCGCCCCCATGAGAAGGATTTATTCGATTAACAAAACAATAATGAAGATGATCAAATTTGTGAAGAGTCTAATTATAAGATAAAAACGGACCCTTCACAAAATAATTTAAGTTAAAATATTTTGTGACGGTTCCGTTTTTATGAAAAGATATGTTGTGAAGGGTCGGTTAACGGACTCAAATTTCTTCTAAACAGAGCCCTTATTATAGTCACTTATATAACAGAGAAAAAAAAATTGTTTTACAAATCATTTTTCGGAAATAAAATGAAATAATAATTAGAAGAAAAAAAACTAAAAGTCTAAAAGATTAGTCAGATTAAAATTGCCATCAATAAAGAAAAAATGCTTCTAAACACAGAAGGAATCAAGTATCAGATAAAAGTTCCTCCATTCATATTTTTAGACTTTTATTTAATGTAAAATAGGAAACAAAACCAATTCAAAGGTTTTATTTTTTTATTTTATAAAATAACAAATACTATAAGCAAATATCTGTACCATTTTAGGATCCAAGACACCATAAGGAATGGCTTTATGTGTTCTTTCTTCATAGAGATATCTATTGACACAATTAATATGTGACTGTTGTCTAATGTCTGCAGGACTTTGTAATCCAAAGCAAATTTTGCTTCTATAAAAAAAGACACCAAGAAAATTGAATTATTTTCAAAATAAATAAGTTTTATTACATATATATGTTATAAAATAAGTAAGAAATAAAGTTTTTGTGCCATCAATCAGTTTTATATTCCTTTTGCTCGTGTTGTCTCGAATTAAAATTTTTTGATATTTTGCATTGTATTTATAGAAAAAATTATTTCAAATGCCTTAAAGATATAATGTATATATATTTACTTGTAATGAACAGTATGAAACAACTTATAAGTGTGTAGTTAATTGATTTTTATGTTAATTTCGGACAAGGATAATAAAAGCAAAAAAAAAAAAAAACCTTTTAATTAATTATTAAAAATGTTTAAACTAATCTCAATTTGTTAGTTTTCAAAAAATGATTCTCTTCCATTGAATACATATTAATTTAGCATTAAATAATGAGAAATTGAATAAGAACTGGGATAAGGTAGAGAAAATGTTTTTAAGAAATGTTTTAACTTTTACCATATGTTGTATGATAAAAGCTCGAGTACGGCATATTGCAAGAAGTCTGCAAACATAAAATTTTTTCAAGCCGCTGGCAAAATGCACAGAAATTTAATGTTTATGACAAGTTAAAAAATTACTAGCCTTCCAATATTGTAAAATTTTTTTTGAAGGAAATAAATCTTTTGCTATTTAAGTGAGGAAGAACGCTGCATTAAAAAGAGTAAAATGGAAATAGGTGACTAAGACTAATAAACAAGATTTCTTATGAAATAAAAATTTTTCTGCTACTTTTAGGTAACCTGCCACACACTTCCACACAAAGAATGTGTCTTTTTGTTACCCTTCTTCAGAACATTTTACAGAACAGAACATTTTCTTATAGGAAACAATTTTCAGTGTCATCAATAATGTCTTATGATTGTCTTTATTTCTTAAATTAATTGTGTGCTCAATCAATTAATTGTGTGCTCATTTCAAATTAAATGTGTGCTCATAATGATTGCATTTGAAGCTATAACAGATTTTTACTGTATTTGTAGCCATACCTCCTTCATCTTATACTTGGCTCAGTCTAGACACAGAATCTATCAAGACATCACTGAGATCAGCACTCATTTACAACAGATAAAGCTTTGCAGGTCTTCAATTTATAATCTCACTCATGGTTTGTTCCCAGCTGATAAATAAGTGGTATGAATATTTTAAATTTTTTATTTTGCGATGAAGAGGTTCGATTGGAACATATCCTTAAAGCACAAACATTGTGCACAATTTTTAAAAAACATTATTCCTAACTTTCTTAAGACAACACGTGATTGTCCAGTAAAAGGAAGGCAATTTCATTCAATTCATTGATATGTGAGGGAAACATTTAGAACACATTTTACCATTGATAAAATCTAATTAAATATTGCATAAAAAAAAAGAGAAAAAGAAAAAAAAACTAAATTAACCAAGTTTTAAATGATTTATAAATTTACTAGAAAACTTAATAAAAAAATAAGTTCTGTAACATTTCATTATAAGACCATTTAAAATTATCTTTAATCAAAGAATTACAGCTAGTAGGGATATTTTTATTATGCACCTGTGCATGCCAACTGCATTTGCCCAGGTTTTCAACTTGCAAAAATATATATTATTTGCCTCCAAATAGTTACAAGTTTTACCCCTTCAGTTTATTCCATTCAGTGATTTTAATTTTTAGATTTCTGCTAACTGCAGCCCAGTTGTTGCCAAAACTTGATGACATTTTTAGTGCAGGTATTAGCACAGAAATTTTCCACAAGGATAATTACATATTAGTATCCCTTCTAATGAGAAAAACAATAAGAATACAAATAGAGCATAGAAATGGACATCCTATAGTTTCAGTTCTCTAGACCAGAAGTTCCCAAAAGGTTGTTTCAATAGTTCAAAATAATATTTTAGACATTCACATTTGCCAATAAACTTTATTTATAATTTCTTAGGGTTCTGTCAAAAGGAAATCGATTATTCAGAGTTTTAAAAAAAAAAAAAAAAAATGGGAATCGCTGATCTAGATAAGAAACTTTCCTCAAAGTCTAAACACTAAATGACATTATAAAAATAAAGAGACAAACACATGCAAAGTGGTTTAACCGATCAGGGCAGATGAACAAGTCTTAAGAAGGTGATAAAAAGAATTGTGGTAAAAAAAAGACATCAGGGAGCTCAGTGGGAAAGTTTCCAAGCATGTACGCTGATGGAAGAACATCTAATATCCTGATTTTTGACATTCATGTTCAAGTCCAAATATAAGTGTACACTTGGTTTGACCTATACATGATAGAACACACTGACAAGAATTCCTCAGCTACATCACACAAAGTTTACCCTATCCTTTTGGTTTACTCTACCTGTTTACACTGAAAGGATATTAAACTATCAAAAATTGGAGAAAAAAAATCACATAGAGGTTTGCCTAGGGATACCTACTAATTTGATGCTCCTTTTTAGTTTCTCAGGGGACCACTACCTGAAAATTGCCAAAACTTAACGATTATTTTGTTGAAGTTATTTTTATGCTATCTTTCTTCTTTTCGAAGGAAGTTTATATTCTAGGAACCTAAGATGAAATGAGTTCAAGAAGATTTCTGTGGTGGTACCAACAATTTTCAAGTTTTGGCGACAACCGATAAGTGGCACGAGAGAAACTAAAAAGAAACAACACAGAAGGCGACAAATTCCCAGGGTAAAACTCAGACACATCATTTTTTTCCTTCCTATTTCTTGGAAGTTGCCAAAACTTGTCAATTATTTAGGCACAAGAACTTGGAAGAAAATCTTTCCCCACAGAAAAAAGGATTTCCGATAACTAAACGTCAAAGTTGGGTGTTCATACGAAATGTATGCCTAATCAATTGATAAGTAATATGATAAGTTTTCCAATTTAGATTATTTCTTAACATTAAAATTGATATCTTGAAAATTAATAGGTTGTGCAGATTTTATTAAGCAGTCCTTTCTTACCACAAAAATAGAGCTTTGCCAAAAAAATTTTAGACTTGCGAGTTAAAATTTTCTTTTTGTAGAAGGTAAATAATTACTTACATTTTCATAGAGAGATCAGACTCTCTAAACTGTTCCTTAACCATCTTCAGATTTTACCAAAACGTTTGAATACTTCTAAAGTGAAAGTAGTACAATTGAAATAAATAATTTAAGAATACGGTAACGAAACCGTACCAAAACAAATACGCATGTTTTTGTTGATGATGCTGATGTAACGAAAGGTAGAATGGTGGCATCCGAAATCATTTCGCCGCTTTATTTTCACTGGCTTATAGCTTTCATATAAAAAAGAGTGAAATTTGCATGGAGAGAAGACCGTTTCCATCAGGTCTTGGCTCTTCCCTCCAGTGGCGTAGCGAGGGGGGAGCAAGGGGGGGCATCATGCCCCGGGCGCTACTCACAAAGGGGCGCCAAATGGTCAGCAAAACAAAAAAAATTGTTGGATAATTTTTATTTTTATTATAATTTATTTCTGCAAAAAATATTTTAAATTTAGTGCCAGTGAAATATGATAAATGTTAATTCGTAAATAAAAAGGAACACTAATCAAACTGTAATAATATATTCATAATAGAAATGACACGTCTTTTCTAATGGCTGGCTGACTCGACCTGTATCTGTCAGCACTTCCTTATGGCATCTACGCTGTGTGGTTACATATATTATCTCCAAATATTTGCACTGTACAAAAATCGTTTGTATGTTTGTACAGTGTATAATACAGATTTCAATGGAATAGAACTCTTTATCGAAGAATGTGACTGTAAAATGTTACTCCTTTGTAGAAAAGAAATTGAACTTAAAACTCCATTAGAATTTCTTACTTTTATAATCCCGTATGGAGAAGATGTTTTTCCAAACCTGAGAGTGGCACTTCAAATACTCCTGACTATCTCAGTATCAATTGCTAACTGCGAATGGTCATTCAGCAAATTAAAATTAATTTTGACATATCTACGATCAACGGTGGGACAAGATCACCTAAGTGACCTGGCATTTTTAAGTGTGGAAAGAGAAAAATTTGAAATGATCAACTTTGATGATATTATTGATAAATTTGCTTCATCAAAAGCGGAAAATTTACACATAGTAATTAGTTTTATAATTGTATTATAATCATATTATTAAATATATGTATCTCCTTAGAGATAATAAATATTTACTTTTTTATTGTTTTAAAACTGCGTGTTTTTAAAATATTTCTTTATAAATATGTAAAATAAATAATAGGTATCTT